AACTAATGAGTACAATACACTGCTATAGTTGCCATCAGGAGGGGAAACACCCACCCACTATGCACATTCACAAACTTTCAAATTCTTCACTTTTATTTTCATAAGACCCTTGTAGATGGTTTACATGGAAAACAAGGTGGTATTTATGTTTTGTACGCTGATAAACAATTTTTATGTTTATGAAAAAAMCCTTGAAAATCATTACTAATAAAATTATGTAATGATCAGGCYAGAGTTTATGATTCAGAGTGTTTACCTTGTGCAGGATAAAAGGTGTAGTTTGCTTTTATAGGAGTATCATGTAAGATTTCTTCAGTTTATTTCACTAGTTTAAAGAATAAGTATAATGACACTTGTGTTCTCTCTCAGTGGTGACACTCAGGACAGCCAGTGGAAGTCATCTAAAATTTTCAGGTCAGTATGAGTGAGCTACAGTGGGATAACAGGACATGTGAGGGCTTTTCAAGTAGATGGTGTGCTGAGRCCTTTAATATATCAGAAGTTAATAGGGATCAAGATGTAGTGGTTCAAGTCTGCTTTATTCTTAAAATAATCTCGGTGGGGGTTTTACATMATTTATTTTATACACAGTGATTGACACTCACTGAGTATCTTTGAAGACCTTTCCTCCACCTTGAAAAGTAAWGTAAATTGAGAAGGAAAAGAATTTCTGAAAGAGGTAATTAATAATTAAAGGCATTTTAAAATGGAAAGCCAGCTTCTAGAGCATAATTTTGTTGTAAATTCATTTCCTATGGACAGCAAAACCTCTCCTTTCTGTTATTTACACCTGGCTTTTCTTTATTTCATGAGCTTGATGACCTTTAAAAAACCTCTAATACTGAAGCTGAGGGAGAATTCTGTGAAAACAAGCTGCAATCTAATTCTGTGGCTAAAGCTGGTCCCCWTGTATATAATTATAATGCTTTTTTACAACAAGTAGTTATCCACTGCCAGCATATGGAAGCCTTTTTAAGATCATTGCAAAACTTCTTGGCACTAGAAATAAGTTTTGGAGAACTCATGTTTGCCACATAGAGATTTATACCTCCACACTCACCTCTTTCTCAAAGTGTACTATTTCAAAAAGTCCTAGCCTTCTATCTCAACTCTGTTTTCAGTGAAACCACTCATATCTTTGTGAGGGACAAGKTTTTGGTATGAAAATACCACACTATGCTATGCTAAAGAATATGCATAAAGAATGCTATGCTTTTCTGCCCTCTGACACATTGTTCTCATCAGTGAGCAAACAAGTAACCAAGGAAATACTGGCTGTTACAAGACCAAAAGTCTTCTGCTTTTTTTTTTTTTTTCTGGCCAGAAGATGGCATTAACAATTTAGGATTCTTGAAAACCTCCTCTTAGTTTTCACAAAGCAAATTTATTTTGAAGAATTATGTATCTGTTAAGAAAAGTGTCTTCAGACACAAAGATCTCTACAGGGTTGGTTGAATTAAAGTATGCTTTTAATAAGGAGAAAGATATCTCTTTTTTTAGAACAACGTTTGGAAAGCAAGAAGAGTTTCACTGACAATTTCAGTTTTCCCTGAGTTCTTTCATGTTTGAACCATGCAAAATCTTTTAGCAATTGTCTACTCTAGAGATTTAAAGAAATCAGAAATGCTGGAACCCATCATTATGCCAGCCCCTATTTTTTTCCCATGGTTAATTAATTTCTTATTCCTTTRTTAGTGAATGTTGGTTTTCCTAGCTTGTGAAATTCCTGTATTCTCAATGAAGAGTCACTGGAGTTATCCCTGAAACCACTTAGATCCAGTAAGATTTATTATATCTGGGAAGGCAGATCTCAGCTCTCCTTAAGAAACCAGGTCTCATTAAGAAACCATTTAGTTGCTTTCACATGACAGAGAGTCTTAGCCAATTAGCCATGTAGAGCTGCTTACATGGCTCTTGTATGTTCTGCAGTACCTACACTACCTGAATTTTCCTAATGCTGAGAATTCTTCTGGCTTGTCTCTCCATATAATGACTATCTGTTATTTCTAGCTATTTAAATATATTTTGTTTAATTTTTAATTAGAATCTTGACCTTCAAATCTGTTATTCTCTCCCCTTGTCTGTTGCTCCTTTTTTTGAGAAAATATCTCCATTGTTTCCCTTTTTATTCTTTTTTCTCTCTCCTGTGTTCACTATTATAATTTGAACAGAGGTTACCACTGAATTAGAGTCTTTGGACACTCTGTATTTGATGTAAGGATATATAAAGAATGTAGGTATAATCTAGGACACAGAGAGTAGTCAAAATTAATTTTCTGRATTATTTTTGTCTTTAACAGATTCTCAGCACTTTTGAGACCGGTGTCTTGGCCTTGAGTTCTAGCTGCTCCTTTCATCAAACAGAAGAAGTTTCCCATGGCAGTGTGTACAGACAGTTGCACAGGACCTGTACTGGTTTTGCATTTTAAGCTACCTTATGTAAGGAGGGGAATTTTTCCAAAATGTAGTTCTTTAGATGAAATCTCAGGTTCCTGTGAATTTTTGTATGTTAGAGAAGTTGGCAAGTTGTGAATGCTTGTGAAACCCTTGCACACGTGTCATATTTAGCCTCCCTGATCTCTGGCTTTGCTATCCTGCCAGTTTTGATTTTCCCTTCCCGGGATCTAGCAGCCTCAGCAGTGATTCTGAGTTTACCTCAGAATTCAGAATCACATTACATACACATTAAATAAATTCACTTACATATGACTTTTTTGGTCTTGGAGTTTGTTGTTATTCAATCCAATTATTTTATCTACAGCATAGACTCCAARTAATTTTAGATGTTCTCTACTGTACATTTTGGCCTCTGTAATACTTTATACAGTCAGCACTTTAAAATATTAATCTTTATGATTTTATTGTTGTTATTACTTCAACATAATATATTGATTAATGATACAGACTCAAACTTGGGGGTGACCTTATTTTCTTATATAATGTCATTGTACAGAGCCTTGAAAATCCTCACAAAGAATCTACCCTGAACTGCAGGAGGAAAACTTAAACAACTGGTTTTGTTGAGTCTTACTGTGACCTTCAAACATGGGTAGGAGCAGTATTTATTAAAGTCCTAGACTGAACAAAGATATGAGAAGGCAGTGAGCAACAGATACTTGAAGTGCTATAATTTTTGTGTTTTATGGAGGAAGTAAAAATATCTGCAGATATTAATCCACTGGGTTACAGACAGCTGCAACATGTGTTGCCAGTAAGACATAAGTGAAGAAGTTGGGGGGTTTGGGACATGCTTTTCAGTGACGCATGTTTCTTTTTTGTGTTTCCCAAGAATGCAAGTGTGGCATTCCAGTGGCATATATAAATTTAGAGAAATGCTGTGTTTCAGATTTTGCAGAATATTTCTTTTTTTTTTTTTTGGTTTTTCTGTCAAGAAGACTTAGAAATGCTCTCAGGATTCATGACATAAAAGATAAAGTTACAAAACAAAACAACAGCTTTGCTGTAGTTCATCTGTAAGATGAATGGTCTTGATTAGGCAGCGTGAGGTGAGGACAAATGTAATTTTTTCCCCTCTGGTTAGTTAACTAGGGGTAGCTGAACCACATTGGACCACATGCCTTGATATTAAATTGAGTGTCTAAAATTAGGCATTTTACATTCTATATCTTGAGGACAGGGTTTCAGTAGCTGTGGCATTCATCAAGTAGACATCAGGCGTGTAGGAACTCTGTGTCAGTGAGTAATATAGCTTTGTGTGTTTCTTACATATTGCAGTACATCGCATATAATTTTAAAATACAGTTTCATAGATAAAATATTTGTTTCATGTTTTAGTTTATTGTTGTTATTGCTATGTTCTGTAGTGTTTGGCAGACTAGTGTATGTAAACTTGGATTTAAACAAGCTTCTAGCCTCTAGCTTCTTACCTTCTGCAGGTAATGGCATCAGTAAACCTGTAGTTTCTTCATTAGTAACTTTATCAGTTACTTTATCAGTTACTTTATCATGCCATGTTTTATATGATTCTGAAATCTATTTTGTTTGATTTCTTGTAGGCTCTAGGTTGAAAATGGCATCATGCCTTTATGATTGCCTTTGTGAGGCAGAACTTGAAAAATATTATCCCCAGTTTGCTGCCTTTGGTCTTCAGAAAATTGATGACCTTGCCAAARTTTCCATGGAAGATTACTCCAAATTGGGAGTCCATGACATCAGTGACCGCAAGCGACTTTTTCAGCTCATTAAAATAATCAAAATTATGCGACAGGAAGACATTGCAGACGTAAGCAAGCAAGATTTTCAACCACGTAGCCTTTTTGTTCAGCCTCGGGTGCCSAGGTCAGGTCCTCGTAGACAGCTGCGTTTCGAGTCCTTCTGTGAGGAAAACGATGGAACAGCTAACGACTCTGAATCTGAATTATATCATTCACCTGATTTCAGTGCCAATGAAGAGAAGAACAATGTAGGGGAAAGGTTGGGACACATTCCACCACATGATTCTGAACCAATCAGRTTAACTAGAAGAGACCTAAAATCTCCTGGAATAGGCACAAAAAATGACCTGAGCTGTCCAAAGGTTTCTGATGATATTGCATCTCTCCTSGGGGATTCTGAAGTTCCTGTTGTACAAAGAGTAACTCATGGTTCAGGGTATAATTATGGACTACCTCATTCCTGTATCAGGTAATAATCAGTCACCTTTGCTAATATTTCAGATTAGTCATAATTAATTTTCATRATTGTGGAGGAGAATGTGTCTTCCTCACCTCCAGATAAGCCATCCAAGTGCTACAGAGCAATGCAAAKTCTTACAGACAAGAGAGATATTAATAAACATTTGCAACTCTCCCAGTCTTATAGAAGGAATCATCTGAATTTGACCAGCTGCTACTCACCAAGGTTGTCTAAGAATAGTCTTTATTGTCTCTAAGGATTTAAGGCTTTGTTTCCTTGGTATTTGAGCCAATCTTTGTCTTTCCATGGGACTTACCTTTTAAAATATTATTTTTTCCAAAATACAGCATTGCCTGTTGTTAAATTTGTCGAACTTTTCCCAGTAGAAGGAATACAGGCTGTGATGGCTATATTTGTTTATAAAGAAATTTCTGAACTGAAGCTTTAAAAGGAAGCAGAATGAGTACAGATGGGAAGGATTACAGGCATGATGGTGAGAGGGATGCCTTGCAGCTGCTCCTTAGGCACATGATCTGTAACTTCCATGCTTTTCCCAGTGTTTAGTACCAGAGGGGCTGTGGTTGTCAAGAGCCACTGCTAAATCTACCCTGATAACATTTTTAAAGCACCAAATGTTTTTTTCCTGTTTCAGCAGCAGAGCACATAGACCTCTGCACACATAATGCCAGCAACTTACAATGCAGTTGTGGCAGTTAAAATGCAGTGAAGAGAGGTAATTTTATGAAGTTTGGGCTGGTCTAGGTAGGCTGTGGATAAGATTTGGTACAGGGAAAAATCCATGGAGTTGAGGTGTCAATTACAACTCCCTCTGAGAGTGCATGTAGGCTGGAGGAATAGATGCTTTTGCCACAGTGGAGAAGTACTAAGGTGACATAGTAAGTAGAGCACTTAAATTCTGAAATGCAAAACAACAGTTTATAACTCCCCTTGACTGGAAAAAAAAATCATTTCCACCTTCTGGAGAAGTGCAGTAACTTCCAATATATTTTGATACCTTGGTGCATTCTCTGTCTCTTCTGGAAATTAAGCCWAGGTGCAGCTAAAAGGACAGGATTTATAGGGTTGGAAAATTAAAAATTTATAAAATATAAAACCTAATGCCTCAGCTAGAGGAGTTAAAGGTCTTTAGACCTCCAGTAGAGTCATGTGTTCCCATTGTTCTCACTTTCTTTCCTTGTTCTCTTCTTTCAWATGCGCATTCTTCTGTGTCTAGCATTATGGTTCATCTTGTGGGCTTTCTGCATCCTCCTTCTGATATGTCTCAATTTTCTTGTGTTTCAAGAATTGTGCATTTTAGCAGGCTTGGAGCAGCATGCTTACACTTGGGTTTGTGATTCCTGTTTTGCAAGTGCTTAACTGCTTCACTGAATCCATCCATTCCCATGCCACCTTGTGATCTGACCACTGTCRAGGCTAATCTAATCTCATCTATGAGAGAGATTGGAAGACACAGATATGGTTTCAGATGGCAGAAGGTTAAAGAGTTCTTTTAATATGTTCAAATTTATTTTGAACTTGCCCCAGCAAATAGCTTGGTTTTGCAAAGGTGTAATGGTTCTTCTGACCTATTATTTAGTCAGGTTTCTGATGAACTGTCAAGAYTTCTGTTTGATTTTTTTCCTAGTAATGAAAAATTTTTTATTTTAAAACATCATTTATATTTTAAAAGAGCAGAAAATATAAACTTTGGGTTCAGCATATAGAATTAACATGCATTCTRTTCCCATACAAAAGATACTCAATGAAGTGTGCCTCTGTACTAGAGAGAATCTATTTTTTTTTTGTTGTCATTAACAGAGCCTCTAATTTTTCAGTTTTTCCTTTCTCCAAATATTGCAATCCCTTTTACTTCAAGCTCTTAGAGCACAGCACGGTCTTTCTGCAGGTCACCAAATCTAGCCTTTGGCACAAGAATTAGGCTTCAGAGTCTCTGATCAATTTGTTGGATGACCTTTAGTACTTAGTGATATAAACTCACACCAACTTATGAAGCATCTTATTTCAAGTGTCATTGCCTTTTTTTCCGAGGGAGGAATTTTCCATCTAAGTGCCGGGTCTAATCCTGAACTGCACAGGAAAGCTGTACTAAAATTAACATTAAAATTAAAATGAAAGAATCTCAAATAGAGATTACTTGTGTGTGGTCTTTGAAGACCACATTGTGAGGTTGACCATCTCTTGTGCTTCTGGGGAATCATAGAGCACAACAGCAAGGATACCACAAGCCTGTGGATGTAATGAGATATTGAGTAACTTGTGGGTTTGGTTTCAATTTGTTAGACAACTGGTATATAGGAGTTTTCAGTTGCTATGATAAGGGATTTTGGCATTTGGACAGAGTGGCAGAAACACTGCTTTTGGGCAAGCTGGGGCTTGATTATTTGAAATTCAAATCYAGGCTGAAAATTTGGTTGAAGACAGCTTGAAGAAGGGAGAGGTGTAATAAATACATTTTGGTTAAATTCAAGCTTATTCCTTATGCAGCATCACAAAATGCTCTACACAGCAGGTTAATCAATGAAGCATGAAATAATCCCTTGTTTCTGAGGTGTCTGGAAGSGGACTAAAGTAGAATTGCCAAAACACAGGAGCACAACTTTGTCCATTGTCTGAAACTACATAACCTCTTAAGAAAGAAGATCAAAGTTGAGACAAGAATGAGGTCAATATTTCAATTATTTTTTGAGCTGGATAGGAATATRGTGATAATAGCTCGTTTGCTGGTTTGAGTCATTTATTTGTAATGAGTTAGACAGTCTATAATGGAAAGAATTAAAGTCGAGCATGAGAAGAARAGCAACTAAGTATTACACCTTCTTGTTTACAAGATCTATTTGTACTTTTATTGTACATGATTAAGTGACTAATCCTGAGTGCAAATAATTTCAGCAAGATTAAATTTCATTACATTCACTTGTGYATTATGCCAGCTTGGATCTCATGTTTGTATACAACTGAAAATATGCCAGTCCAGCAACAAGTTCAGGAACGAAGCTGTACACACAACTATTCTTTTAAAAGAAGTGTACAAAAAGCATCAGTCTATTTAGAAAAAAAAAATCAGAAAATGTATCATGTAAGAACAAGATCTGTTACGGATATAATTTTTTATAAGCTTTAAATACACAAACATTATCTGACAAAAGTAACAAATTCACGCATATTCTAGTTGTAACCTTATTTTAAAATGTGAACCTCCACTATTGTTGTAGATCCAATACTTCTGAGAAAGAGACTCCATGGACAGAGAGTGAAAAGATCAGAGTGTGTGTCCGAAAACGTCCTCTCTCCCTGAGGGAGGAGAAACGTGGGGAGCTTAATATCATCGCAGTGGATGGTAATGACACCCTACTTCTCCGTGAGAAGAAGGAGGCGGTTGATCTTACACAATACATTTTAGAGGTAATGTGTGCTCCATTGGATGTTGTGTTTATGAGCCAGTCATTTGCATGGAAAGGTGAAGTGTGTTATGCTTGGGGTTTCCATAAGGGAAAACAGAAAAGGGCTGTTAGTATTTCTTACAGTGAAAATAAATGATGGGCTTTTCTTACAGGTCAGAGTTGTCTATATTTGTGTCACTTCTATTTATGCCAGCCTGTGCCAGAAAACCTGAACCCAGAATTTTAAGCTCTAGAAGTATGTCTCTTGCAGCTTTCTTTGTATGTGGCAAAATAAGCCCTGTGCTAYGTGCCATTGCTGCAGGAGAAATGCCTGCTGATGGCTTTCCAGGGTACTTCAGTGAGGAGTTCCATTTTTGCTGTTTCAGCACTGTAGGTCTGTTTCAATGAATCACATACACCCTCATCCCCTCCCTTCCTTTTTTCTCAAATGCTTTTGAAAATTAAGTTCCYTTTTGGTCTTTGTTTTTTACTCCCAAGTACTTGGTGCTGTCATAGYTCAAATTCTCACTTGTGACTGACAGCACCAGGAAGAGAACCGATTTGTAGAAGCAGCAAGCCATTCTCGCTCTCCTGGGTGTTATTTTTACAATCTGGCTCCTAGGAACAACTGTTTGGATTATCTGGTAGAAATTCAGTTTGGAGCTCTCTCAGGCCTGCTTCATGTGCTACCTTTTACAGTGGGACACATGCTGCATCATTTCCACAGACACTGCTTCTTTGAGTCAGATCTGGAGTGTGGGAAATTGGGTTTTCTTGACCCCATCTGAGTTCAGACAATCCAGCTTGCTTAGGAGCAGCTTCTCTCTTCTCTGGCACAAAAAAGTTTTTAAGAACAGATGCAATTAATCACAATTTAGTCACAAGTGAGAACTATTTTGAGAGTCAAGAGTTGACTCAGTTCTTTTTACTGTTACAGTCTGACTGTACATCTGTAGGCTGATTCATTTTATGAATAAGTTTTCTTTAATTAGCTTTTTTCATTCTTGTTAAAAGGTTCTGGTATCTTATGCTTCAGAATGATGCGAAACTGAGGCATTTTTGCTTCCCTTTATTTTTTCTTCCCCCACCCTGAATGCCTTGATTGCTGTGTTCCTATATAGGTTGTGCTGCATGTTATGTGTGTTAGATCAATTTGTACCTGATCCAAAGTCACTTGAAAGACTTCTGTTATTTCATTTTGCCTTTGAATGGGATTAGAGAGCAAATGAAATGTATTCATTCTCATGTAAAGATCATCTTTGTTTTTCAGCATGTTTTTCATTTTGATGAAGTCTTTGGGGAGTCGTGTACCAATCAGGATGTGTATATGAAGACAGCTTCTCCTCTCATTCAGCATATTTTTAACGGGTAGGGCATCGGTGCTTACAGTTGTTATTTTTTGCCTTGTTTTCCTATTTTATATATTGCTTGAATTTTCCTTTATGCTTCTCATCTTTTGAAGAACGTGTTCATTTCACCTTTGCCACATACCTTCCCACTTTCAAAGTATCTTTGATTGCAGTTTTGACAAAAATAAATCAGAGAAAGCTTTCTTCACATTTGGTGACAAATCTCAGTTGCAGAGGAAGGTAAAATTGGACCTCAGGTGCAACAAAAAGACAGCATGGCCAACCTAGAATAAAAAATGTGTCCCGGGATTTCTGAAGTCTAATCTTCACTCTAACAAAGGGTCCTGTGTGGTAGAGCAAACTCATCTGTTGACAAAATCTCTTTCCTGAGACTGCTGAGAGGTATTTTTGCATGTATTTTTACAGTTCACAAGGCAATAGAAATTATTAATAACCTTGTGATTTATTTCTATTATTTATATTTGCTTAGAGGTTTAATCAAATTACATACTTCCTGATTAATGGGAAATTGATGGTGACTTTACATGAGCGGTCTTATTTTCATGGAAGGTAATGAGCTAGAATATAATTACCTTTTTGAGTCTTTGAAGAAAAAGCATGTATCCATGCTGAAAATTAATAAAATGGAGTATTCTGTTACTGAAAATCTCCAAGTGTGATTGACAAGGACAGAGTAGTATGCTCTTGAGAAAAGGAAAGTGAAAAAGGAGAATGAGGCTTGTACCTTGCTRTGCAATAACCACTAAAGCCACAATTCACATTACAGCTAATCCAGTGATGCCACCAGAAGAGATTATGCTATTTTTTTCTCAGCTTTCCCCTTACTTTTCCATCCCTCCTGCTGGCATTGGTCTAATCTGACACCATGTGAGGCAAATCTGCAATCTAAGCTGGCAAGAAATCATTCACTGTGATGCTGCAGCCCTACATTTTTACCATTTATCTGCCAGGAATTTTTGAGCCAGGTTCAGTCTTTTTTTTAAGGGGGAACAGGGAAATGAAAGGGAGAGAGCCAGCACCTTGTGCCACACCAGATCTCCATAAAATATACTTGGAAATCATTAAGTTTCTGAGGTTTCCCAGAGAGGATAGGAAACCAAACCTCATTGCCAAGGGGTCACTATAGATAGATACAAGCATCTCAGAATATTATTTAATAGGTGTGAGTGAATCAGATGTGACACTAAACACATGCATTGTGTTCACAGAGGCAATGCAACTTGCTTTGCATATGGGCAGACTGGTGCTGGCAAGACTTACACCATGATAGGGAATCACCGGAACCAAGGACTCTACGCCTTGGCTGCCAAGGACATCTTTAAGCACCTGGAAGCATCACCATCCAGGAAAGACCTTACTGTTGTGATCAGTTTTTATGAGATCTACTGTGGACAGCTTTATGACCTGCTAAATGGAAGGAAAAGGTATTTAAATAGAAGCATGTTTTACTATAAGCCCAGGGTTCTGAATCAGTTGGTTACTGTTTACATGCAATTGCATTTAATGTATTAGCATTTATAGTAAAAGTTATGTATTTAATTAGAATTCTTCCTAGCAGCTATGTAGGTAGGAGTGCAGGATCTGACAGTAAATACTGTGACATTGATAGGGACTCCTGGTTTATTGTTWGGGGAAAATAAGAGCTTATGTTTGAGATACAAGCTCAGGCTCTTTTGCTTACACTGTAATAAGATAATAGYTGAACATTCATAGTAGAGAAAYAAGCTTCTTGTKGTCAGMAGTTCCTATCTTAGAATCATAGAAYTGTTTGGGTAGAAGGAACCTTAAAGATAATCTTGTTCCACCCCTGCTGCTCTGGGCTGGGACAAAGTTCCACTAGGTCAGGTTGCTCAGAGCCCCATCCARCCTGGCCTTGAACATTTCCCAGGGWCATCCACAGCTTCTTTGGAYAGCCTGTCTTGTGTCAACCRTTGTGGARTCCCTCTTYCCCTGGTCAAACATAAACTCTTGCTGTTCCTYCTGCTGTGCCCAGTGGGGCTTTGGCTCTTGCCAGTCCAATCTCTGAAGATCCTTGATGCTGCAGAGCCAGCTCACCTTCTCCCTGGGCACCTTTACCTGGCAGCCCAGTGACTCAGCCCAGCAAGCCCTTGCAGGGGATGCTGAAATATGAGTCTACCTATAAGAGCTGCTTTAAAATCCTGTGCAAAAATCTTGAGAACATGAGCAAAGCCAAATTTAGARTATGAAGAGGACTTAGAGGAGCCTGAGATGTAGTTTGAAGAGAGACAGGAACTCTAAAATGTAAACAGGGTAATTTACTTCCCTGCCTTATTATATTCCTGAACGAGCAGAAATGCATTGATAATGTCTTTTTAGCAGTGAAATTGGCACTTGTTATAAATGAAGTAGCTCTTCTGCAAATAAATGAATGACAGCAGGACCTCTCCGCAGTCAGTAGCCTTGATTGCTTTTTCTCAGTGTTGCAGCACGGATGTGTGTTGTCATTGCTGCTGTCTGAAATTTCAGAAATCTTCTTTCTATTTTCAGACTCTTTGCAAGAGAAGATGCCAGCCATGTCGTTCAGATAGTTGGACTGCGGGAGGTTCAGGTGGACTCTGTAGATGAGCTGTTGGAGGTAATGTTTGGGATGCATTCTTTGTCTTCTGCAGCCCAATTTGCCAATTTGTGAGGCATATCACTTACAGAAGTTATTTGGTGTGTAACACAAATGTGTGTTCCTGTTTAAGGCYCTGAAACTGGCAACCCCAGCAGAGAGCCAAGGGGCACTATTAAAAGTGCCTTTATTCATTAAGCTGCTTCTTGTGTTAGCCACATGCAAGCAGTTGATTCACAGCTGTTGCTTCTGCTGTCATTCCTTAGGGAAAAATTCCAGAAATTAAATGTGTCCCAGTAAGGGATCTTGAAAACTGGATATATATTTTCTCCTGGTGTGATATTTCAGGGTCCTATGAACTTAGATTTTTGTATATAAAAGATACGTGGATTTGGGACAGAATATATAAACTTAAAATTATTAGAAGSAGAAATCAGAAAATAATGAAGATATGAGATATTTATCTGATATAGGATTAAAAACTGCTGTGTGTGTGCATGATAACAGTCAAGTAATATTACGATCTGTAAACAGGAGCTGACATTCACCATGAGCAAGGCTTCAGTTTTCCTTCCCTACCTGGCTGAGTCTTAAAAGGATACTGGCAAACTTTCTGTATTGTCCTGCAACAAGCAAGATGGTTAAATCTACTTTCTATTAAGCCTGACTTTTTGTAGTTTAATTCCTCTCTTGGTAAGGAGTTGTCAATTAAAAGTGCCTGATATTGTAACTGACTCGTTAAAATTGGCATGATGTTGGCCACTTATGTTGYACTTAATTTAGTTCTTCATCTTCCCATTAACTCCAAGGTTCAGAACAAGCTGGCGGTGCTTCTGCAAGTTAGAGTGCAAATTTGCTATATAGTTGATTTAAAATTCCTCAGTATTATCACATTCCACACACAGAAGAGCTACTAAATTACTTCATTCTTACAGATATCTCGAGGGAAAAAATTGGATTGTTCACAGGTCTTTTTGAACACAGAAATGTCACTGGCTTGACTCAGAACTTCTGAGTATTCTGCAACAGAGATATGAAAAGAGCCTTGAATACATCCCTAGTTATTCACTACTCATTGATAATATTGGCTTTGATTCAGAATTATTTGCACTAGGCACTGATATAAAGCTTGGAAGCTGCAGTTGTTGGTTGGGTTGCTCATTGAGAACTGATCATTGAAAAGTGTGAATAATTCACATCTATCAGCTGAGAACATATTGATTTTGCTAGGCAGTATTTTAATTTGTTCTTACAACTAGAGCAAAAATTGGTGACTTTTCTATGAATGCTCTGCTGCAGTTAATGTCAGATTTTCTGCAACAGTCCTTTAAAGTTTTCAAAAAATAATTATCYAGATTTGTATCTTGAAGGAGACTTTGTCCTTCTGCCTTGCTTTCCTTCCTTGTTTTCTTATTTTATTGTTTTATTGAGTGTAATTAATCTTTTAGCTTTGTTCCTTACTCGGACATGATTTTTTTTGGTTATGGAAATTGAGAAAGGTTTTGACACTTCATATTTTTTGTGTGACTCTCTGGATAACTGTACTTGTCTACTACAAGAGAAAGTAAAATTTTTAAAGAATACAACAAATGGTCAGTCTCATGAATCTTGTAGGTTTGTGTCTACAGTATTACAAAAGTATGCCAGCAATGTAAGAAAGAATTTAATTTTATAATTTGGATATTTCGCAAATCTGAGTGACTCTGTGATGTGACAGCTTCTTATTTGCAGTGTGCTCTATAAGCTCTGCAGTGTCACTGCGAGCAAGCCCAYGTAAAAAGCTCTGAAATAAATATTAGAAGGCATCCAGTCTACCTTTACTGCCTTGAGCCAAGTCTCAAGCTGTAATGAACCTTTCCTCCCAATGTTTCCTCGTCTTCGGAGGACAAAATATTTTTCTGAGAGATTGTGGTTTTATTTACAATTTGCTTGGATTTTGTCCCCCTTATTTTGCAGGTGATTTTGAAGGGRGGAAAAGAACGTAGCACAGGAGCTACTGGAGTAAACTCAGATTCTTCTCGATCTCATGCCATCATCCAAATTCAAATTAAAGATGCAGCCAACAGGGCATCTGGAAGGTAAGACCAGAAGCAGAAGTGCTCAGTGCTGATGTCAAGCCCCAGGGGCATCCAAGAGACAAAGTGTTAGTGCTCAAGTGTGAGTTAAATTAGAAGACTGGGTTAAAAGGGGCTTTGAGAAGTTTCACAGTACCTTTTTCTGTTGCCAAGGAGAACATTTTAGGCACATCTGTGACAGCTTTGTCAAAATTGTTTGTGCAAATTTCCAGTGAAGGAATTTRACAGTCAAATCCATTCCGTCCTCTTCAGTGTTTAATTTGGTTGAAGGTATGTGCCTGCAGTGGACATATTCACTTGTGAACTCATCACCTTTGATGTCAKTAGAATGAAATTGTCACTTCTGGGATCCAATTCATTCTGTTCAGCAGAGTGACCTAATTTAGGTCGGATTCATTTGCCCCTCAAAGCRTTTCTGCCCTGTAATTGACTACAAAGGGAGTCTGGGATGACCAGCCCAAGTGGAGATGATTCCATTACAGATGTTTGCCTTTGGTCAGAAGAATCACAGCACYTCGCATAAACCTCCCAGATAATTTGAGTGTGCAACTATGATGCTATCTGCAGCAGACACAAAGAGCAGCTTACTTATTCTTGTGGCATCAATTTTATGTATTCAAAAACTAATTGTGCTGCTTCTCAGTCATCTYTKCTCCAGACTAAACAACCCCAAGAAATAGGTCTGAGGAAAAACATCTGTTTATCTACATTACTGCCGAGTGTCACAAAATCCTGCTGACATAACYTTTCATTAGCTGCCACACAGTCTTCTTTCCCAGGATCTTAATTTTTAGCACAAGGCAAAATGGGAGAGCCACAAGCAGTGAAGAGAGGAAACGATAGAAAAGACAGGGTTAGAAATAAAAGTATAGAGGTTATGTAGGTGTGGCATCTGGACTGGGGGGKTTTTATATGTCTGAAAGGGAGGTGGAGCTGGAGTGAGGGAAAGCTGCCAAGATGTGCCTATAAAAGAAGTCAGGGCTGTTAGAGAAAAAGAAGGACAAAGACAGTGTAACAGTCAGTACAGCAGCTGGCACCCAGAGCTAGGGAATGTGAAAGCGAGTAATGGAGTTTTGTAGAAAAAGGACAAGGATCACTGAAAGCTCAGTCTGTTACTTGCTACACTGAAAATTTAGGTTCTGTTGCCCCGAGTTTCCATTTGACATGGCAGCTGTCCATTTTAACCTGGAAGGAGAACTCAAGAAACTTACAATTTCTTTTAACTGTGTTTTTAGGAAACTACAAACATAATGATTATCTGGAGAGATTAATTTGTTGCACTTTATACAGCTTATCCATTGAACTTCAGAGCACTGTCACCATATGTAACTACACTTTCTGTTATTTAATGYTAAGATACTCTGACACTGTTCCTGCTGCTGTGCTTATTTTGGCATCACAGATATCTCCAGCGGATGTTTCTTGTTCTTCAAAAATAATAATTTCTAGTCATTCTTCTGATGCTATATGTTGCAGCCTGCTGGTTTAATAAAGAAAAAAGAAGAGGGGAAAAAAAGCCCCTAAGATAAATGTGACTTTGTTTTTTTCTAGGATATCATTCATTGACTTGGCTGGCAGTGAAAGGGCAGCTGATGCCAGGGACTCAGATCGACAAACAAAAATGGAAGGAGCAGAAATAAACCAAAGTCTTTTGGCAGTAAGCTACTACYACATCTGGGGAAGGCTTTGTATTTAATTACTAGCACGTGTTTTAGGATAGAAAGGAATCACAGAATAACATATGTATGTATTCTATGTATTCTAGTGTGTTCCGTTTAATTTGTCTCATCACTGAAAGACAATTTAAGAAGAAAGAGATTTCCTGATGAAAATTAAATATTTTTAATCCATTCTTACAGACAGGTAAACTTAGCATGGTGAACATTAGGTGTAGTATACTAAGTGTCCTGTATTTTATATGAACGTTTGTCCCTTCTAAAGAATACTGGCTTGAAATTGCCATATTTGTTTCATAAAAGCACATCTGTTCCTGCCAGTTATTTTCACCACTTGAACTCAGGCTTCTTTTTCAAATCAGGAATAAAGGACTTAAGAGCATAGAAACTAGCAATTTACACGTGGGGAGGAAGGAACAGGAAGAAATGACCTCTTAAGGCAAACTGTCTTTTATAAGTTCCCCCTTTTATAAGTTGGGCAGAGAGGGACAGAGGAGCAGAAAAATGCCATCTAAGATAAAACAAAAGTGCTTGTAAGTGTAAATGGTGCAGAAGGCTTTTCACCTCCTTTAATGCAAACAAGCAAAACTCAGTGGTGACTGGGGGCTTTTCTAAGTGAGGCTGAAGGTGATGCAGGTTCCTGGGTATGAGCCAGCAGTGCAGAAGTCAGTGCACACAACTGTACCTCTTAGTGTGCYGGAAATAGGACATGGCTTGCTCTGATTTGGGAATGTAAAAGTTCTTTTGCACAGAGGCTTTTCCTGCCCTGAAATATTTATATTTGTGCTGGRAGGTAGCCTGTGAAGTAAATGTGTTTCTGTCCTTCGTGCTACCTTGGGTGTTCGCTGGTGCATAAATGTCATGGGGAGATGGGACCTGAACAAAAGAAGTCTGATCTTAAAGGTCTTCTCCAGCCTAAACAATCCTGTGATTCCTGAGAATCCTAAGTGTAAGCTGAAACAGTGAAACTGTTTTAAAACAAACTTTAAAATCAGAGTCTGTACATTTTTGCTATAGTGTGAAACTAAGAAAATGCTTAGGCAGACTACAAGTAGAGACTGATTTAACTAGAAAGGATCTTTGGATAAACCTTTCTAACCTGAAGCCTGTAAAAACTAGCTCTGCCCTCAGTAACCACAACCCTATTCAGGCCTTTAAACTCATGGGATTTGAACTCTACTGCTGGTTTGAATATTCATGTTATTTTCAAGTGGAAGTCTTCCAGACACTGCAACTATGAGAAGCAGACTGAAAAATTGTAATGGTTTGATCTCTTACATGTTACAGGTGCAGTTTTTAATAAATACTGTAAAAGTGACAAATAAGTATCATTTAGGTGGGAGCTTGTAGAATGTGGAAAGGCTGTAAATGCTTGATGGCAGTATCACCATGACGATACTGTATTGTACTATCTCCAGAAGAAAGAAATTTGTGAGATGTATCTCAGAAAGCTCTGTTCTTTTGGTACACACACCTGTCCTGCAAGCTGCAGTGTAGTTCAGGGTACACCCAGTGTGGCTTCTGACAAGTTAGCTGTGGTGCAGGCAGCAGCTCTGTGGATCTCTGTGTGTGCTAAATGTGTGTGTATTTACCCAGTTCCTTGGRTTTGGTGTAGCCCACAGAGCCATCAGGCAGAGTACAAACTGACCTTGCAAGGGACAACACAGAGCAGGAGCCAAAGGTGACACAGGGCATTGGCAGGTTAGGTTTGATGCAGTTCAGTTCCTTGCCAGTGTGTGACTGATTTATTCTTCCCTTCTGTTTTTCCTTTCTTTTGATAGCTAAAGGAATGCATTCGGGCTTTGGATCAGGAACACATGCATACTCCTTTCCGGCAAAGCAAATTAACTCAGGTAAAATGAGCAGAAAGGCAAGAGGAGAGGTTTCCCTGATGGGGACAAAAATAAACAAACAAGCATATTAATAAATAAATAGATGGCCTGGTTCAATAACTGCTTCCTCACTTGAGAAAGAGAGGAAATGCATAACTTAGCAAATTTTAATTTTAAGAGTAATCACAGAATTAAATTAAATTTAATGTTAAGGAGAATCACAGAACTAGAGAACTGCCAATTTCCTCCAGCCAATGTGAGAGATTGGCGTGGAAAAAAGAAAGAAACAACCCAAGAGGTAAAACCCAACCAAAACCAGGGCACCACTTTGCAGACTCGTGCAGCGTTACCATCCATCCCCACCCCGTCTCAAATTAGTCTTTCATTTTCTGTTCAGTAACTGTCCTGGGAGCTTTCATCAATATTTCTTGACTCCAGCTGTAACATCTGCTTTATTCCTCAAACTCTATTGGTACCCTGGAGGCATTTGGTGCAAGGGCTTGTTCAGAGCCCTGATTAATACTTGTATTAAYTTAAAATTGCAAACAAATAAAGGCAAGACAAATAAAGGCAAGATGACTACATTTAGCAAAAAAAAAATACAGTACCTCATGCTGAATTTCTTCAGTAGATGTTGCTAATTTACAGGATATGCAAGTGAACATGAACTGCTAAGAACCCAGATTTTTTTCCCTTTGAACCCTAGGTGCTAAAGGACTCTTTCATTGGCAATTCCAAGACATGCATGATAGCCAATGTATCACCAAGCCACATAGCTACAGAGCACACCCTGAACACCCTGCGTTATGCAGACAGGTAGGAGGTGTCTTGCTGGGGTGAGAAACACGAAGGAAAAAGTAGCGTGTGATGTTTGCCATTACATTTTATTTTGGTTGTATTGAAAACATCAATTTAGGCAAGAAACRGTCTTTACAATGCAAACAAAATCACTGCCTATTCCAACGTTTATATTTTGTCTTTAAATTTTTTGGTGTTTTAAGTACTTTCTGATGACAGCTTTCAGTGATGAAAATACTAGTCTGTGCCCTATAACTGCAAGATTACTGACCTCAGCAATCAAAAGCTTTGGTTTAGTTTTGATTAGATTAGATTCTGCTTAGAATGTGTGCAAGTCCTTCACCCTCCCTGCTACAGAGCAGGAGGTAAAGTACAGGCTGTACAATGCGGGTGTTAGAAGGACAAGAGGGACTTGAGAGGCAAGAGGAGCAAAGGGAACAGCTGAGGGTTGTGTCAGTAGGGGAAATTAATCAGTTAATTAACCAGTTAATCAGCTTTTCACAGTTGTCCTGGTGAGTGTGACCCAGGAGCAGTGCAGCCCTGTGCACATCAGCTCAGCTATGGAGCCCCACTGCAACTACTCCACAAGTGCTACTTTGTGCCTTATGGGACTCTGTAATGTGCTGTGGAAAGTACCACCTTGCTCTGCTGCAATGTAATGTGTGGAAATGCCACCCCTTTCTCTGAAACTGAGGCCATTTCCATTCATTTGGCCTGTTACGCACTGCTCATGGAAACACTTAAAAGAATTGCTATAGCTTTTTCCAAAAGCCCAGGCCTTTTGACAGAGGGGTTTTGTTGTCGATAACTGTGTAGGTCACTGACAGAAAACAAACCATGATGTCAAATTCAATATTTAGTCTTAGTATGTGAAAGCATTAATTTGTTCTGAAGATGCTGTTTCTGATCTCAAAACATGACATCTTCTAATCCTCTTTATTACAGGGTCAAAGAGCTGAAGAAAGGGATTAAATGTTCTTCTCCTGTCACAAGCAGGCGTCGCAGAACTGGAAATGCATCTCCAAAACGTGTTCAAAGCACTCCCTCTTTGCCACCTGGGGAAAAGAGCTCTCCAAAGAAAGTGAAGCTAGGTGTACAGCAGTCCTCAAATGCTACAAAACCAAAGGCATGTCCTGCAGCATTCCAGCCACCCGGCGGCCCTCTTACCTCTACCCCCAAGGGAATCTGCAAAGGACAGTCCTACAAAGGAAATACCAGCTCTCCCTGCTTCCACCACACCACCCCGGTTAAGGGAGTCCTACGGATGACACATGCCCAGAAGAAGAAAAATGATGATCTATCCCCCCACTCTGAAAAGAGCCCCTCAGTGAAGGATTTTGTCATCAAAAGTGCTGCATTAGCAGAAACAAAAGAGGATGTCCAGCAAGACAAGTATAAGCAAAATAGAACATCTGTCCAGTGCCTGAAAGTCCAGACAGTGCAACCTGTTCAGAAACAGCTTGATCTTACAGATGATAATTCATTTGGAGACGAAAACCTGCCCTCCGACAGTGGACAGGAATGGGGAARTATTTCTAAACAGACTGTTGAACCCTGGACATACCTGCCTCCATTCCAGAAGGAAAGGGAAAAGCATTTACGTCTTTATCACCAGCAGTTTCAGCAGCCACCTATTGTACAGCAAAAATTGAGCTATCAACCCCTTGAGAGGTTTTTAATGCAGTGCAAGCCTGAGGAGATTCAAGGGAAGCAGGAGCTGTGCCTTACTCCAACAGAAGTGCAGACCAAAGAGGGGATGCAGCTGGAAGAGCTGGATGACAGTGATTTCAGTGAAGATTCTTTCTCACCTTCCTGTAGTCAAAAGAGTGTGAAAAGAGGAAACACCAACACATGTAGTCAACGTTCCTTTTTCCTTCATGAAAGACAACAAGGAATTGAAGAAGAGCAAAAAGGCCAACAGCGACAGGATTTATTTTTTAAATATTCAATACCCATGCAAGATCATGAGATAGATGACAGTTGGGATTCTAGTGAGGACAGCCCAAAGGAAGAAGAATCAATTAAAAATGCAGGCTGCAGCAAAACTGCAGACTGGAGCTACGACTTAGATGTTGAATCCTCTCCAAGCAATACTGCAGAAAAACCTTACTGCCTACAGGAAGATTCTGCTTGCAGCTGGATAAATGGCAAGGATTTCCCAGCCGATCACAAAGGGTACAAGTCCAAACGCAGATGTCTCGTTTACCCCAGTGAAGCCACCTTATCTCCAGAAAAGGATGCTTCAAACCCATATGTCCCTCCTGTATTGAAATCAGGAACTCCAGAGTGCAAAGAGATTGTTCTCCAGCACGAGGAGAAAGAAGAATCTCCTTTGGATAAACAGGCTGCTACTGCAGGAGGTGTAAAATGGAAAGCTCGAAAAAATAGAGTTAGCCACCATGTACCTTCGAAGCGTACCTCAGAATTCAATCCCGAGCACAGGGCCCCTCTCCTGGTGTCCCCTCTTGATGGTGAGGACACAACAGAAACAAAGAAAGTGTCTGCCAGCCAAGAGAAGCCCCACCGTGAGAAGCAGGTGCCAGACAGTGACACCCCGGGCAAGTTTGAGGATGAGGGCTGGCAGTGCACCAGGAGCAGAGCTCTGACCGACAGCATGCTGGAACTGGGGGAGCAGACCTGCCAYGGGGTCAGGCACTGTGCCCTGCTGGGCTCCCCTAAAGCCGGGCACAAGCAGCCCCCACCCGCCTGGGGCCGTGTGAAGCCGTGCTGCTGCCGCCTGGGATCAGCTCAGTCCAACAAGGGAGTCCGTCGCAGTTTGTTTGTTGGACATGACGKGACTGAAACATCTGCAGCTGGATCCGCAGCTGGATCCACGAGCTCCAGAGCAGASAGGGAGGGCGGGGGGCTTTGCAGTGACTCCCCCTGCAAAGAACACGCAGGTGGCAGACGGAGTGCTAATGTTAATCAGCATAACAACGCTGGCAATTCAGGAAAGTCTAACTCAAGTCAAGGTGCTGAGCGTGTGGCTGAGGAAATAAACGCTGAAATACCTGGAAAGAGCTATTTTTCAGAGTCACCACGCCGTCCCGGTGTAAAACACACACAGCCAGTCCAGTCCCCCTCTCAAGAGAGAAGCCTGCCACTGCAGCCCAAGCCAGGAGTGAGGAATGAGGATCTCACCCGTTCTGAAGACCGTGCCAAGTCATCATTCGGCAATGAGGAAACAGGGTTGCTAAAAACCAAGTTAATGCAGAGTATTTTTACACAAGAGACTTTTTCTGCAGATGCAGGATTTGCAACCAAAGATAATAAGCCAACAGCAAGTGCAAAGAGCCCCTCACACATGTCCAGCAGCAGCTCTCCAAGTGCTGCCTCAGAGATGGGGAAATGGCAGAGGGCAGCTCTAGAAAAAGCACAGTAAGTCTTTCTCAACCTGAAGTTTGTAATGAAGCTTAGAAATTCTGGTCTTGTGATACATTTGCCCTTATTTGTATTGCATACTCATACGTACTTTAAAAAGCAATGGTTAATCATTCTATTAAATAATTACTTTATAAGATTAATCATAATTTATAGTAATTACCTTATAATTATATGGTTGCTTGTTATCTAGTGATATTTTAAAATCTCACAGGAAGCAAATWATTCTATTAGAGCTTCTAGGATAATGCTAGAGGAACAAATATTATAATATAAACCACAGTTCTCAGTAATTAATTGGCTTCCTTTAAGCTGTAAAGGACCTAAAATATTTCAGAGCCTCCCATCAAGAATCAGGTTTTAGTTGTTCCATCAGTGAAAACACTGCTAGAGCAGCTGGGTAGTCACTGAARATGTAGATATAAAGCTCCTGAGTACTCCTAGCTGCTACTGTCAGCTCCAGGGACTGGACTGCATTGTCTTGACTGAAAGTACATGGTTCATCAGTGAAACTTGCTCAGAGGAATCATCAACAGCAGCACTACCTTCTGGCTCTGCCTGTTTGTCTCTAAAGTTACTTACAGACTCACAGTTGTAAGCCATTTGACTGATTAATTAGATTATCGTTTTGGTCTTTGATTCTGTTACAGTGAAAAGCAGTTGTGTGCTATGTGTGCTGATGAAGGGCTGTGGTCACTTCTCTGTGATCAGCCCTCAATCAGCCAGGTCATCCTAAACCCCAAACCAGCGCAGTCCACTGTTCCTGAAGGAGCACTGGTGTGCCTTTCCTGACACAGGACAACTAGGTTTCCTCTGGGGTATTCTTTCTTGAAGGTTTATTGAGGCCAGCTGTGATTATATTACAGGCTGTGTAACCAGTGGTGTGTTTTTTGTTAACCAGACAGGCTGTGTTTCGCGCCCATCAGCAGCAGCTGGATGAAATGGCRTGCCTGTGCTTCAAGGAGGAGTGCTTGATAAATCAGATGTCAGCGATGGTAAGTGTTTCATTTGATGATTTTGRTGCCTCTGGAACCTGCATAAATTAATCTTAGAGATTGTTAACTTGAATTGGTGATTTGATGTTCCTTGTCAGTTCAACCTCTTGTTCTCCAAGGCCTGTCTGAGTCCTGGGAGAGGCCTCTCATTTTCAGTGCCTGTTGTGTCTTTGCCCGTCTCAGACAGATCCTTGGGGAGCAGGAGATGGACAGGCCAGCCCTGAAGCCCTTGTTTCTGATAATAGAGCCCTCCCTTATCTCACATCACAGGGCAGACTGTACCAGACAGGCAGGCTGTTCCGGTGATGTTTTAGTTCTTACAGGCTGGGATAAGTAAGTCAATACCACAGAACAGAGCACACCCTTTAGAGCAGGACACTGGTGGCATTTGGGTGTTCCCTCTGGGAGCCCCTTTGCCTATTAAACTGCAGKTGTGCCAGCAACCCTGGCCCCTCTCACTCCAGTGCTCTGACCACTGTGGCTTGTGCCCTTACACACTCTGGGCCTTTGTCATTCAAATGTTTCTTGGCTTGTCTTTGTTTCAGACGACAGCAGTGTACCCTAGACCTAAAAACTGGGAGCTCTGGCCCAGCTGCTAGCCAGCCAATCACAATTCTCTGRTTTTACTGCATTCCAACAGGTTCACATCAGCTGTGTGAAAATCCAGACTATTAACATTTTCCCCTGAGAATTCCTGCCTTTCTAATTCTCTYATCTTATCAGTAAAGCCAAGTTCCATTGCCACATTGCATTATCAAACCATTTCAATTCCTATCACGTTTTAGAACTGAAGCACAGGGACTCTTCCCTCAGGGACTTTAAAGTGGGGCCACATGGTGGCTTTTTCACTGTGATTTCATATGCTGTTTTGCAGCTAATGTGCAGAAATTCACAAAGCAGCACAGGAGACATAAACTGTATTAGTTTTGTGGCAGACAATGCAAAGAAACAAAGCTATTTTTATTCATCTTATTTTTTTTTATCTTTTGAGATAGTTCTTCTTAAGTCTGTTGGTCACTGGATACCAGCCCTCCCCCCCATTTATTTGTGCCTTGCAGCAAGCAGTTATTTTCTGGCTAGCTGAATTCTGACAGGTTTGCCAGGCCTCCCAGCATTGTGTGAATAACATACCCTATAGTTTTATTTCACAGCACGACCTTTTTTGGGTAATGAAATGTGCTTGGACTTCCTGCATCAGCTTCTCTCCTTCCATTTTCAGATGGTTTCAACTTCTCCAGCCATGAAACTTTGGCCTCAGGAGAAACTCCTGCCAAGACCAGCCTTACACTGAAAAAAGCAGTATTTAAAGTGCCTAAGAAAAATATGCCACAGCAGCTGGGCTAGTCTTCATCACTGTCCTGATTTCCCCACAGGACAGAGATACAGTGCAGGAGATACAGCTGGAGTCCTGCCAAATAAGCTTTTGTGTGATTGATTTTCATGCGCAGCAGCTGAATTCCCCAGCCCTGGGGATGCTGACACCTCCCAGCTTCTCAGGCACAGAACTGTGAACAAAGGCACCAAACTGCTCTCAGCTGGAGAGCAGAGCACGTCCAAGTGCTCTCTTATTAATACAAGCCCTATTTAAAAATGGATTTAAATTCCATTTCAGTTYTAATCACAGTTCCATACTGGTTTTTTTTCCATGTGGCTATGGAAGGTAGAGTTCACCTGGGCTGAGGCTGTATACAGTGCTGGTGTTGCTCATGGTAGACCTGCACCCTGGTCCCATGACCTGATRGGAAATAAATCCCTTATATCTCTCAAGATTGGGCTATGTTAAATCTGATCCATAGTGGCCCAGTTCACCATTTCTTTTCATAATTAATAAATCAAACATGAGAGGTGTCAGRAAGAATTCAGTGCATGGTAAAACTGGGTGATCAGTCCCTGTACCAAACCTTTGAAAAGCTAACTAGTGTAGAAGAGTGACAACAGCTGCTTTATACATTTTTGTTTTTAAACCACTATATCAGCTGTAATTTCACCAACAGGTAARACTTTTAGAGTCAGTGAACCTTGGTATTTAGAGGCACGGACCTTTGTGAGGGTTGTGACTTAACAAGGAAATGCTGATTTAATCTACTAAACTGCAGAATGCTTTTACATTCTGGTGCAGTGTAAAAAAAATATGCTGATTTTCTCCAACCTATTGATACTGTTCCCTAAGCTTTCCTTGTACCTTCCTCACCAGGATTTTAAGAGTTTCATGAACATGCTGGATGAAATATTGGTGATGAAGTCAAAGTGTGTCCAAACGATGCGAGCCCAGATTCAGCTCTGCTTAGCCTCCCCTGGCACTGGCACATCACAGCAAACACCTCCACCAGTTTAGATCTTCTTTGCTTCTGCATGCACTGGAGCAGCTACGGAAAACACCAGCCAGAACTTCGCTACACTTGGTGCTGCACAGTGTGGATGGCAGAGGATAGCCTTTGGTCTGATGTTTGAGATTAGTGTGTGTTTTGCATAAGGGGGCAGAGAATTCTGAGTAAATGAGAGATGACTAATTGGCACCACAAACGTATTTCATTGATATTAGTTAGCCGCTTTCTGGACAGTAACAACTCAGCAGCCTTTAAATATCTCACCAAACAGCAGGCAAATAGTGTTCATTTATCATAGCAGTTTCTCACATGTTAAAGGCAATTCTATGTTGCCAGGAAAATGGGGATAAGAGAAACTACTTTGAAGCCACATACAGGTCTAAAGAGAAATGCTCAAAAGCTACCAAGAAAAGTGTTTGCAAACAGAAGCCAGAGAAGAGAGAGGAGCCAGGGGTTGTTACACCAACATTATTGGCCCTTAAGTAATTGGAAGTCAAGGCAGGGCAGGAAGTGCTGTCAGTTTCAGAAGAAGGAAGCCTATTGTCAAAMTGGTTCTTGGGCTGAACATTACAGAGGCTCTTGAAAGAAGTGACTTTAAGTGATGGGTAAGGAGTGGTTTAGCAGGGACTTCGTACCAAAGAATAAGGTTCTCATTAATTCTTCTTGGTGTGTTAATAAGCACGTGGGAGTCATGCGGCCCAGAGTGAGAGGCCTGCAGCTTTTCCTGCTGCACATCGCATCTGACCCCTGCACTGCTCATGTTGAATGGATTTCTCACATGAAAAGTGGGTCTGCTTGGAGGCACTGGGCTTCCAGAAGCTGCTGACAGCACTGTTATAGGGAGCTGGTGTTTGACTCGAGAGCTATGGAGCCATCAGCTGGAGCCCTGCAAAAGCCCTGGTGCTGCATGCATTGCATCTATACCACAAGCCAATCCAGTTGCCAAAGGCACACACAACCTTGAGACATGCTCACTGACAATGTGCTGTGTGAGCACTCCTACTCCAAAATTAGGGCTGTCGCAGCACATTCATCCGTCTCTGTATCTCCTCAGTAATGCCTGTGGTAGCTCACTCAAAGCCTGCTCAGTAGCCAGAAATGTCAAGGGTAATGGAACACTGCTGTCTGACCAGCTGTGGGTTTTTGCTGCCTTCCTTCCCTGAGGACCCAGGTTGGGCTGAGTGGCAGGACAGTAATCACAGTGACACTTGGGGATGCATATTTGGTGCAAACACTCCCAGGAATGTCACCCAGCATAGGCCTGGGGAACAGAAGCAAACCCCACATCACTGCCTTGACCTGTTTTTAGTACTGGTTAGTCTCCATTTTGCAGCTGAGACTGGGTTTCTCTGTGGAGCAGAGAGCAGGGTTCCTCTGGGGTCTGAGGTTATGGCTCTCCAGCTGGTTCCTGTGTCCTGGTGACAGGCCAGCAGCACATCACACCCAAACCTGAGTCTTACAGCCTCAGAAGCCTTCCTCACCCAAAGAAATAAAGCACCCAGGAGCAAGACTCTCGATATTTTTGCATGGCACACAGCAGTGGTGTGTGACAGCCACCAGAGAGCTGTAAAGCAGTGGGACATCAACACACGCAGGGAAGAACAAGGGTTTAAAACCAGCAACTCCTTCCACTTCTTGAGGCTGGGGAGAGCTTTCCCATGAATAAGGTGAAAAGAATACGAATCAGCTGGGTAGTCCTTGTCCCTTTTGATAGCATGAATTGGACATGGGCATTTAGTTTCCCCAGCACTTTCTCAGCAAGCATGCTGCAAACACTGCTGTCAGGGAGCAGCTGAGGAGTTTTGCAACTCTTGTTTGGAACCAAGGAAAAGGTCAGGCTGTAGAATGCATGCACAGGTCACAGGAAAATGTGATGCCCAGTCAGAAACCGTGCGAGGGAGGAAAATTTTCCCTCCATGTAGTCTTGACATTTGGGAGATGAGCATTGGTTGATTGCACTTTCAGATTTTTAAAAAGCAGCTCAGCAATGCATGTTCATAGGCATTTTGAGCGCCTTACAGAAGCTGAACATTCCTAAGCAATACAAGAATCATTTGCACAACCCCCAGTGCCATGTCCTGACCTCAGTATCTGCAGGGGCAGTTGTGACAAGACAGATGAGTGACCAAAAATTTCCATGAGCAGAGGAGAAGGGAGTTAAGTCAGCTGCCAGATTTAAGCCACCTGTGAATCCCATCTGATCTTTTGTGAAAGAAAGCAAGTCTGTCCAGCAGATCTGAGCCCCAGCATCAATTCCCACAGCAGGAACTATTTGCTCCCTTGAGGAATAGCCAGGGACACTGAGAAACAACAAATGATCAAAACAACAACTTGCAGTTTTCTGAGGTCTGATACAATCTTTTTTAAAATGGATTATCCAACCAATCCCCATGTTTCCACCTTCTTAAATGTAACATTTTATTATCAGTCTGTTCTCCAATTTTATTTTCTCTACTGAAGGTGAAACTTCACAAAACTAAAACAGAAAATGGACCTGCCTAAGAAGAATAAGSCCATCCTTGGCAATAACATGGGCATGCCTGAAGAAACCAACAATGATTCCTCATATGCAACAGAAACTATTAAAGCTGCTGTCAGAAATAGTAATGTTTTTTCTCTCCCCTTTGAGGATTATTACCTTGTTGCTGCTTTAATTCTTGTGTGAAAATGTACTAAATGAGCATGTGAAGTGTCATCCCCTTCCTACTGTTCGGTATTTCACTGACAACTGCTACAAAAGGTTTTCATTTCAACTTGAGGAATATGTGTGAAAGTGTCATAAAAGCAATATAAGGGATTTAGAGAACTTGACCACTTACAATCAAATAAACACAGAATTAAAATGGATTCACTTTTATATTCAGATRCAACAATGAATATTAATGCGTATTAGCAGAAGCTTGGTATTTTATTTCAATAGCTGACACCATGTTAAATAAAATACAATTTGCTACAGAACTCTGGTAAAAATCACTTTAGGTAAACATAATCAAAATCCCCATTTGATTGACTGCAAAAGATTAAATCTRTACGAGATCCCCTTCTCAATGGGCCTGTTGGGAGTGTTTCAGAAGCCATTTCCAAGCTGTTGCTACCCAGAACCAGTAGGAGGCAGCTCAGGGGGGCTCTGGCTCAAAGCACAACCACCAGTTTTGGCTCTGTCTGTCACCACCCTTCCCACCCGGGCACACAGACCTCAGCGCCTCTGACAAAGGTACAGCAGGGACATAAATCAATGTGACCTGAGAGCCTAAAGAAAAGCTCTGAGGTCACAAGCATGACCAAGGGTGCAGCCAATCCTCTCACCAGCCAGCAACAGGGCAGAGGCCAGCCTTGCTCCAAGCATCAGCAGGACCTCCCCACACCCACASTGAACAGTACCGGGACAGAACAGTAGCAGCATTACCAAGGGATACACAGCACCCGGGACAGTGAACTCGTGTCACATTGTGTCTCTTATTACACATTTATTCAGCAATGCCTCGGCCCCGCCCCCCTTTAATCCACTCATGCTGCGGTCTTCTCCAAGATGCCACCCCAGGAATGCACTTCATGCCTGCAACCACTCACAGACTTAAGTCCAGAGATCAAGAGCAGGGAGACGCAGGGAGACACAGTACTCTGTCATACACCGTCTTCACAGGTGTCACTTCCATCTTCACTGCTCTGTTCTCACCTCTACAACAGTCTCCAAAAGCAGAATGGTTACACTGTGGTGTTAAGAGCCAGACCTCACAGGGGAACTGCGAAAAAAATAACACATACTAATACAATCAGATATTACTTTATTCGGAGCTTTGGTCTAAATTGTTCTTTCCCCAAAGACTCCTTGCCCCTTCAGGACTCTCTGACAGGGATTTGTTGGGGTAGCAGTTCTGAGAAAACCAGAACAACCAACACAACCAAATGCTCAGTAGCGATCGTAAAGCAGTTTGAATTTTCAAGGTTTCCCAATTAATCAGGACGCCCATTTTCTCACCTCAAACCATCACATTTCTCACCTCAGAAGGAAGAAAAGCTGGGCATTACTTGCACCCACAGAAACAGCAGCTGCTGAATGCTCTCCTTAGATAAGCCTTATTTCCACTCCACCACTAGAAACTGATGAAGTTCAACAGTAGGGGGTATGTACAAGGCAACCTGCCCTGCAACCTCGTCTCTYTCCACAGCTCCTAGATACTTGCCAGCAAATCCCACCCTTGCATCATTTTAAGTAAAGGGACATCATTAACACAGAGAATTCCAGGACCCAAATTAGATGTTTTGGTCATAGAAAGCTAAAATGGATACAAATGCCATCTTCTTTGGAGTCCTGGTGAGCTGAAACCTCCTACTGAAAAACAAACACTGATGTAAGGAGCTGAGCCGYTCTCCCCCCACAAGTCCAGTGCTCCGGCTCTGGGCTCTAACCTAAGTCTGAATCCCTAGGCTGGGGCTTTGCAACAAACAAAAATAAGCCACAGAAGAAGCACAGCACCTTCCACTACTGCAGCTGCAGCCCAGAGACTTCTGTTGTTCTGCCCAACAATGTTCACATGTGCCCACAGGAGCTGGCAGCACGTGAGTGGGCAAGGATCTAGCAACTTCCTTGTCTGCTGTAGCGAAGGAGCATGAGAGATGGGAACCATGACACTGGGAGTTATATTTGAGGGTTTTATTAGTTCTGCAGAATCAAAATATTTAGCAAATTAGAGATTTCTCAAGACTGCTGATATTTAATGTATTTAGAACTTGATCAATGTACAACGTAATACTTTGAACTATCAAAAACAACCCCAAACCTGATTTGTAGTACTAGATGTTATTATGTAATTCTATAGCAGTGTGAAAAATGAAACTAATGCAGTGAGTATATTTGTTTTAAAGAAAGTGCTTGAAAGAAACCTCCTGCATCACACTGTGTATTATTYAAAACAAAAAGATGACTTTCTAGCAGGGCATTGTCTTAAATATCCTAAAAGCCTGGGGGATTAAGAACACTGAGCCCCAGCTCTCTGCCTTCAGGTTAAAAACCAACACAAGTTGCAGCTCCAGGTCGAGCTCACAGCTTAACTGCTTCAGGGGGACTTACACACCACTCAGCATTGGACACTCGTGTCTGGCAGAAGTATTGGATGCATGGGTAAAAAACAAAAACCAAGAGGACAAAACGAAGTTCTCTCTTTATGCATAGTGACAGTTTCTGAACCAGTGTTTTACTAAGTTACAGACTAACTTCCAACCAAAAAATAAAACTCCATTGCACTAAAGGTCAAATTTAACCAGGTAATCTGGACTGTGACACAGTCAAGTAATTCAGTACAAGCAGACAAGACACCATGAAAGCAGCTTCAAAGAACCAAAGCATCCTAGTTTCAGAACCAACTTAATATTCTTCTGTCCAACTCCAGTGCAACAATGAAGGGGGAACCACTCCATCTCTACCTATGTACAATTCCAGTAGAGGCTGGGCAGTCTCAACTCTCCGTGGCCAAGCTGGAAAAAGGAAACTTAGGAAAGGACACTTTAAAATTTTAATTTAAGAATGACAGTTGGCCCTCAGTGGAAAGAGAAATGCTGGAGTGATGCACACAGGCAGGCTTGCTCAGTTACTCTCCCTTGTTTGCAAAAAGCTGGACTCCTTCCCGCTGAGAGCAAGTCACACTGGATGTGAAGGTGGCGGGGCCGGTCCTGCTCCGCTGCACGCCAAGAATCCAGGAATGTGTCTTCAGCTGGCTCCTGCACGGGCCATTAGATCTTCCAAAGCGTTGTGTTGGTCGTTGTTATGTAATAATAAGACCTCCTTAATGTCTTTTAGTTCAAAGCCCATTTCTTTAAATTGACTCATTAGCTGGAGGAGTTCTGTGATCTGAAAGACAGAGAGCCCATTATTTGCAAGAGGAAAGTGCAKGGATCGGTGCTCGGTGGAGGTTTAGCCCAGAGCCTGTCTTCAGCAACTGGGCATGTCCTGGTTGTGGACTCCTCCTCCCCAAGCACAGCCCACGCCAGCTCTGTCAGGAGAAAGTCTGCTCACACCAGAGCCACCAGAGCTCTAGGCCCAGCAGCCCACAGGGCATCACTTTCAGTCCCTAGTGTTTGCTATCCTTCATTTCCAAAACCCTCTTCAACCAGGGCACCAAAGCTCAGTTTGTGGAGGTGTCTCTCTCACAGAAGGGTAGCTATTAGTCCATCCCAATRTGAGTTCCCAAAAATGCTGATTAATGGCACCCAGCTGCCCCATCCAGCAGCTCTTGCTGCACTTGATTTTTTTTTTAAGTTACTTCAACTTTGGGAACAGCACAATAGCCCTTGCTATTCACTGGTTTCTCAGATCTAGGGCAAACTTGGGGGAATTAGCAGAAACCCCACTGTGTTCACACAATACTACTGACATCAACTGTGAATCCTCCCTGAGCTCTGAAAAAATAAAGTGGAAAGAAATGAGTTAGCTGATCACTTTTATGAACCCTCTGCCACTGCCTCTGCTTCACTCGAGGAAAAAGAAAAATCTCAAACAAGCAAGCAGGTTGAAATGGCCCATCAGGATATTAGCTACTTCCAATTTCGGGGCTGAACCAGTAGAAAATGTGTTTCACAATCTCAGTTACTTCCCACCTTTACACTGCAATTGTTCTGTTTACAAGATTATCAGTAGTCCACAACAGGCAGGAAGGCAGGGTTGGGTAACACCTCTAAAGAATTCATGTAATAACCTGTCACACAACAGGCTGGCAGACTTTGAAAGATCCTCCTGTCCTCTGCCCTGGCTACCTGCTCCTGCTGTACCGTTGGTGCTGGTAAAGCAGCCAGACAAAGAACCAGACCCCAAACCAGGCATTTTCTAGCTTCTCCTAGAGCAAGCCCTAATCAAATTTGCTGAGAAGACAGGCAGATGCACTTGTACAAGAGAGAAAATTCATGGCCAGGGCAGGCTGACCMGGTTTGAAAGACAGTTAGCTGCTGCTGAAGTTAACTGTATCTGTACCAACCACCTGGCCCACAAGAGAACTCTGGGCATTCAAAACATGACAACCACAATAAGCAGAGTCTTAAAAACATCCTGTCCCTATAAAAATGGATGCAAATGAGATTAACAGAACAACACAGACAAATTCTAATACTTTCAACAATTTTTAGCTTTATCAACACAAAGATGTCCTTTGGCAGTCAGTTTTGGAAACAAGGCAACATTACCATGAAAGCCAGAATTAACRTCAGCCAGAGGAACTTCTGCCAGAGTTCCCTGTCATGGCACATTCTTCTATTCCTGCACAYATTGTGCCCTCACCTTCTCCTCTGAACACTGGTGCATTTCCAAAGCTGCTTCAACAAGAAGTGGATCAAAGCCCTTCTCACAAAGCTGTCCATGTGCAAAGAGGTAATCCAAAACCTGYGGGGAATGAAGAAAACAAACTGTGTTTGCAGAGAGGCAGCAGACAGCTGAATGGCACCTTTGTACATGCAGAGAGGCTGAGCATGACTCTAGCCAGGGCTTCATCAGGAATTGAGACTAAGTAGAGCTGAGACAYTCCTTACACAGGAGCTTGTGCAGASAAAGCGGACAAGCCCTTSTGTCCTACTGTGCTCTCTGACCGTCCCCTTCGTTCTAGTCAAAGCAGCCTCAAGGAGCGTATTTTTAGCCCTCTGATGGCAGAAGTTTCACTGTGCTTTTTATACAAGTTTTAAAAATGAAACTGTAGGTCCAGCAGTCAAGATGTGTCTGCTTTTAGCTTCCTCTCAGACAGCCACAAGAGCTGATGCAATCTGAGAGCAGTCAGCCTTGGAAGATCAACTCAGAATACTCGCAAGYGAGCTGCAAATCTCAGCTCACGCACACAGAAACTGCTGCCAAATTTCTTATCCATCCTCAGCTTTGCGGGGAAGGGTCAGGTAGRTAATGCTAAGTATGTGAAAAAACGGCCTTCAAGTAGAGCAGGATTTAAAACTGCACTCCTAAGGGACCTGCTTTTCTRTTTGGTACCACAGTTCACGCCAGTCCACAGCTTAAGCTGCTCTCCATGGGTAGGGGGAGGGTCAGCAGATCAGTCCTACAAGCAGGAGGCCMTGGGACATGCTCTGTGTGGCACACAGGCTGCTGAGGGCCAGCACAGGAGGCTGGGCCATGCTCTCCCATTCTGAAATGTTTGTTTGAAGTGGATCCAAGAGCCAGAGCCATGCTTTGCCCTGCAGTGCTTTGTGCCCAGTGACCTGGTTTGAGCAGGTGTCAGAAGCAGGAAGCAGGAAGCAGCAGCACCAGGGTGCACACAAGTCAGTCAGTGGGGCCTTGCAGGAACCTTTCAGGGCTGTCTTAGGCCTGCAGGGGCCAATCCCTCTATAAGGAGAGATGTCAGCATTGTAAATCCTCATACTCAGAACATGGGAAGTTGGCTGGATTTCTGTCACATGCTCTAATGCATGATGCAGAGCTCCCTCTATATGAGTTTGTAGCTCCTGGGAAGAYCCAGTACCTCTCCCAATTTCCCACAGAGCACAGGGCCCATCYGAAACTCAGCATGGCTCCAGCCCAGCACCCACAGGTGTGGCTGACTCCAGCAGTCTCATCAGAAATAAGCATATGCTTTAGGCTGCAGCCCTGTTAGAGTAACAGTATTCCCTCCTATGCATTTTGTAAACCCAAGACTGCTTCCCAGCAGAACCAGCATCCAATCAACATTTCTTTGCACTGCATGAGCTCTTACCTGGTCTATGTTCTGTCCCTTCTTCTTCATTGCTTTCAGGACATTCTCAGGTGAGTAGCCCATGTTGACCACAGTCTCCACACACTGCCTCTCACTGGGGGAGAGGCCCTGCTGCAGCTCGGCTGCAGGGCTGCCTGGTTGCTTCATGCAGCTGCTGTTACTGGGCACTTTAGACACTGCAAAGTTTTGGTGGGTTACCTAAGGGGAAAAATCCAGAGTTTGAGGTGATAGTCATCTGCATCCCCACATCCTGTTTCTGCCTAGTGCGGAACCAGGATACTCCATGTAATCAATCCAAAAGGTTTTCTAGAGAGCCCTTGGGAAGTTAGAGTGAGGATGAAACCATGTCCAATTCCTACCATACTCTTTTAACCCTCGCAACAACAATTAATAACCCAGATTCTCCACAATGAACTTTGTCCTYCTGATGTGACCAAAGTCTTTGAACACTCAAACCCTGCACCTCAGAGGAAGCAYAGAGATTGCTTCCTTCACCTCAGGTTTACTTATCATCTGYGATTTTCTGTACTCGGAGAACACCACTTTCTCAAGATTACCACAAACATGATCCAATGCAAGCAAGCACACAGGTGTACTTGGAAACTTACYGCAGGGACTTCTGTTTCTTGGTAGTCTGGGTGTACCTGCTGGACAATAAACAAAACAAGTATAAATATCATGCACCAGTGAGCAGAATTYGCCACAGCTGGAAGAGGAGGGTTTTATAGAAGATTCTACCACAAAATGGAAGATTTTAGGTCTGACCAGGCTTCCACATGTGAGACGCTTACATTACACATTGCGTGCWGCTACAGAATTGTCATCATAAGGATGTAACACCTACATATTCCCACAGCCCCAGTTCAACTCCTGACCAAGTCTACACTAACTGAATAACAGTGRTAATTTTGAAGTTCTTGCTAAAGACTTCTCTTGACTTTCTGATTATGTGAAGGGGTAAGAGATAAATACACCTCTTTTTTATTCCCAAAGCACTGAATTCCATACACCACACAGGAACAATTTGCCACACTGGCTTAAAAGAGCATGTGAGTTTTTTACCCACCCACTCCTAGCACAGCAGCAAGACTGGGTCATGTCCTCTGCTGTGCACCTGCTCTGCTTCTGCAGAACCATCCCATCACTTTGCACAACCTTGCCCAAGTTAAAGCACTGCAAAATTAGGCCTTTGCCCCACCAAAGCTGCACATTTCAGTTCAACACATTTAGAACYCCTGCACTTTCAACAGAATTAGAACAGACTGCAAGAAATCACTGTGGACCAAGAACCACAGTTTTTAGCATTTCTTAATACTTATTATGCCAGTATAGATTGCTTGAAAGCTTGTCCACRTCATTCAGAAAGGCCTTTGTGCCCAAACTTAACAACAAAAACCCTCTRTAGAAAACCAGTTCTGAAAAGATCYATCAGGATTTTGACAAACTCCATTTATTTGCAAAAAATCCCAAACCACCAATAAGGAGGTTTTGTTCTGCATTCCTGACCATCTCCAGGGTAAAAATTTCTCATCTAGAAAACAAAGCCTGAGACATGATATTCACTCTGATGCACTGATTTACCCAACAACTTTTCCTCATGGAGGTAGAGCTCTTCACACACAYCATCTCTCCAGGCACTTTTTCCAGGGCAAAAAGCACTAGAATATGGGAGACATTGAAATGCGGGCCTGGAGTAGCCCTGAAATCAGCAGGTTATCAGATTGAAGGATGATGCTTTTTTTATTGATTCTGCAACCAGGAAAACCAAAACTGTTTCTGACACCACAGATTTGAGAGTTTGGGAAAACCAACTCACCCTATGCAATCTACTTGAGTATAATTTCAACCTGCTGTCTTCATTCATCATTTCTCCCTCTGCCAAAGCTGTGAAAATTAAACTTCTGAGCTTCTACAAAAAAAATAAAAGTGAAGAGAGGGGACCACCACAGAACCCATGCAGCCTCAGAGAAACCACATATTTATTTCCAGCCAAAGATTCCTAGATCCAAAAACTCCCATGGTAACTGCAAATTCAAAGTTACAATTTTTGATCTTGAGAGGAAAAAAAAAATCTAATCACTGTGAAATACACTGGGACATGAGCTTTCTGCTCCCAGCACCCAAATGACTGACTTTTTTCTGCTGTTTTCATACTCTGAGGATTTTTGTTACATTTAAATAAATTCTTTTGTTGCATTTACTTAAATTTCTTGCACCTCAGCCATCATTTTCCAGTCACTAGGACTACACAGTGGAAACAAATCGAATATAACATGAAGTCTTGGAATTTAAACAGAAAAAAATAAGTTCTGCCAGCATATTTATTTCTTGGATCACTGATTCCAAAGCAGAAATTGTTTTAAATTAATTAATTTTTTTTACTTCTCTTAGTAAGTCTACTCTTTTTTTCCTCCACTTTCCATCTTCCCTTAGAGCATTCTCAAGATTACASTTTCCCACTTGGTCCTCAAAAATATTTTAATTCAGCAGAGAGATTTGAATAGTTCAAGGGGAAATTTAGGCATCTTAATGCTTGATTTTGAGTTGAATTTGAGTTGTAAGTGATCTRCTGAGTTGTAAGAGATCTTTCATCTTATTCCCCAGAGATGCTACATGTTCCACAACTGAGRTCATGCAGCCCCATCTCACACCTGTGACCTGCAGCAGTGAGCAGGTGCTCAGCACACTGCTGCTCCTGCCAAAGTTAACAGTATTGAATTTGTCACAGTCATCAATAAACAGCTGCTATGCTGAGCTCTGCCAGGTACACTATTTCCCACAGTGCATTTACCTAACCCTGAAAAGAGGTAGGAGAGCAACAAGGGAGAAGCAGTATCATTTGTTTCAGAGCATATGTCACACAAAAACCTACAAAACCACTAAAATCACAAAATCACTGAAACACTGCTTATATTGGACAGAAAAARAATCCAGATTATTTTAGAATAACCTAGAAGATTTGACTACACAGCTCTCACTAGGCTTCATGAGTACTCATGTCCAGATCTGAGGTTCTTCGTAAAAAAAGCCCACAAGCTTACTCTAATCTCTGCTCTTATTCCCAAAGAGACAAAAACAACAGCTGGTGTGAAGTTGCAGTCCTCAAAGTAATATCAGAACTTGAAACAAGATTGAGGAAATGAAGAGTCAATCTCCCATCTCAGAGCTGTACGGTGACCAASTGTAATGTCAAAAACACAAGATGATTTTCAAGGCTGGTTTTGTTCTCCGCCAAGAAACAACTCCACCCTCCTTCACAAGAAAGGGTGACTACCAGATTTCAACAGACTATAAATTATTTTCCTTTTAAAGATTAGATGTTTAAAGGAACGTAGGATGAAAATTGAAAATAAAAAAGAAAAAAGGYTTATTTCACTATAGGTCAACAACTAGCACTTTTTCCTTCTCTGAATGACACAGCATATCTGTCTATTCTTTGAGAAGCCKGCATTTCCCATTATTTCTAGCAAATACACAAGCTAAGGAAAACTAAGGAAAAAAGCTAGAAGAAATTTGATTCCAAGCCTAACAGCACTTCAGAATCTGATACATCTCATCTGAGTAGGACAAAATGCAGGACTGTACATAGCAGATGCCTTATGAGCAGATGCTCAGCTAAAAGGTGTGCAACTGTCAACAACAAATGAGAGCTGAAAAGTGAGAAGAAAAATAGCTGGTCTAAAATGTCAGATTTGAGGGAAAATGAAGAGTAATAATCTGAGATTCAGATCTACCAATACAAAGACCTGTTGGATTGATCAATTTGCCATGTAAATTAAGAGGATCTATATTTCATTCCTAGTAAGTGAAACTATAACCAAAGCAAAGGGCAATTTAGAGAAAAGAGCTATCTCTGCACCTCTACCTCTCCCCAGCAACCCCCAGTTCTACTCCGTGTTTACCGTAGTCGATGCACTTTGAGATGATTCTTCTTCTGTACAAACAGTCGAAACAGCCAGAGAAGACAGCCTGGATGAAGAGGATAATGCTGATGTCTCCCTGCCACTGTCCTCATTTAGAGCGGAAAAACCAACCATATGGTGTCCATTCAGTTCACTGGCTTTGCTCTGAGCACAGGTTTGCAAAGAGCTGAGCAAAGTGCCGTTGCGGAGACAGGTAGTGCTGTGGAAAGTGCTCGTGAGCTTTGATGATTTCTGATCACCCTCATCGGAGTCAAGCTTAGGGAATGACAGGGATTTGATATTGCTCACTGAAGTGATGGGGGAAAGGGACACTTTGGAAGACAAGGACATCTTTTCACAGTTTCCCAACTGTGGTAAAGTGATAAAGCCATTGGGTTTGTGAAGGGGTTTGAAGTCCAATGTGGCCCTTTCTATGGATGCCAGAACTTCCTCATCTTGCAACACAGACTCAGACCCTCCTTTGGGCAAAGTATTATCTAACAGCTGGGCAACAATTGGCCCAGTAGTACCAACATGAATTTCAAGGATATTTTTTAATTCCTCCTTATCATCAATAGTTTTTAATTCCAGTTTGTCAAATGGGTCTTCTTCACATTCAAAATCAGCTGGGTTGAAATCTGCCTTTGGACGAGGTGGACTGAGAACCTTTTGCTTCACAGAGCTGCTGTTGGCTGGGGTAGGAGTCAGAATACTATTGTGCTGCAGGCTAGCGAGGATGGGATTAATAGGAGGAGGCATGGCTTCAGGGCAAGGTCCCTCTGAGAACCCCATCTTGGTGCTGTCCTCTGGAGCCACTTTTGAGCTTGCTAGAGCTTCTTCAGCCTTGCGTTCCGCTTCTCTCTGGGCAGCCTGAATTTTTTTGATGTCTTCAGCCCACTCAATTGTCTTCTTTTCCAGTGAGAAGTCATACTGGATGGGGGTGGCAAAGAGAGAAGGAGAAGAAAAAAAAGACAAATAAGGATMATAGCTGCTACTTGTAACAACAACATAAATTACCAGAGACAGGCAACATTTTTTCACAACCTGCAGATTGACAAAACTGGCAGACACCAGAAGGACTTAATTTTGCCACTAGCAGTAAAATCTGTCTGCAATCYGGATTAGAATATTGTATTTTGCCTTTTTCCTACATTTAGTTTTGCTTTAAAACTACTCATCATCCCAAGATCAGTTTCACAGTCCTCCCACCTTCTTCCACCAAGACAAGAGAGATAGCAAGGGAAGTTTAATGAGTTATTAGATGAACAATCACACCCTGATCTGGCACACTGAMCTACCTCCTGTTCACAAGTTCTACAAGTCACTCAACAGAGTATTTTTGCCTCCGACGGCCAATACAGTATCACTCAGTTTCCCCTAAAAGATTCCTATGGGACTCAAAACTAGAGTTTTACAGCCATTAGTTTAAGAGGTATTTGCATTCTCACTCCAGCAGAGTGCCTTGCCAGCCAAAGGGGATAGAGTGGCTATACAAATGACAATACCTACAGGCAGCAGCAGATTTTGCTGTAGTCACTRATATGACAGGATCTCAAAAGCTTTTTCACTCTTTTCACTCTTTTTTTCAGCTCCTTTAAGGCCAGATCAGCACAGGGAGGTATCTACTCACTATYGTGTACTGACCACAGAGTGGTTTAGTTGGAAATGGCAAAATTCTGAGGAACTTAAATCTATCCATAAATATCCACATATTTTTAAATACTAAAAAAAAAATGTGTGTGGGAAACCATATTTCCTGCACTTCTTTTTTTTTTTTTAACAGCACTGACTACAGCTGTAAAAACAGTCAAACTGCAGTGTGAGATGCACAGTCCACACTGTGCAAGGTGCTGCAGTCTGACCAGCCACAGCAGCTGAGCCCCAGTAAAATGGAGACACAGCACAATCAAGCCAGCAACAGGACATCGGCAAGAGACTCCTTTGGCTCTCCAACACTAGCTTAACTGARTGGAAATATGGATACTTGGACAATCAGGTAATTGTTTAATGGTTATGAGGGCAAAGCCATGATGTAGGAAGACAGGGTAATACGCAGGGTAGGGGAGAAAAAGAAAACAAGAAGAAAGCAGAACCACCTATAGCAACCTGCCACAGACAAAAACAATCATCAGTTGGGACTGCTTAAAGAAAATCATGGATCCAAATGAGAAAACATAGTTCAATTAGACTTCCTGTATCACAACCTGCATTTGGAGATTAGATTTTCAACAGTTATGCTAAAGCTATTGATTTTATGCTACTAACAGTTTATTTTACCAGAAACATGCTCCTCAAGACAGGGAATCTGTGTACCAAGCTGTAACCTGTTTTTTTTCCCACAGCTTGAAAAGAATTGTCACTCAGAATTACACAAAAGAACATACARGAACAACACAGAAAAAAAGAACTGAAAATTATGCCCAGGTGTATCAGTTCTTGGTATTTTTGCTCTTAAAAATTATGTTCAGATATTGTCCAGGTAATATTTAAAACTAACTACTACACAAAATCTCTGCAGTTCTTTGAAGCAGACAGACTAAAACAAATGTTTAAAAATAAAAGCCTAATGGCTTTTTAARACAATAAGAATTAGAAGCTTTTTGCATGACCTATCATATTTTTACCTTTCTGTRTAGTCTAACAGATCTTCTAGAAACRCAAGACTGCCATGTGCACCGTGACAACTTACAGCACCACATGTTGGGGCCGGGGTGAGGGGAGAGAGAGCAGCAATACCACTTACCTGGGCTTCTCTGACAAGCTGAGAAGAATCAGGCAGGCAGAAACCAATGGGTAATCCAACCTTTGCTGGGGTTTTGAACTTGTCTCCTATCTTGAACGGGACATCATCAAGGTAACTGAAAGGCCCTAAAAATCAGAAGTACACGTTGTATAAAGAAGAAAAAACCCACAACTCACAAGTTTCATGCTTCCAATTCAGGCTCACATTGCTGTATTGGGGAGCTATTTTATCTCTGCTGCCACAACAATACCACATGACAACACAAATGAARTTTAAAGCTGTTTGGACCTCAATGCTTCAGTTTAGTTCAAGGAGTTTGTTTTATTCCTAAATGGTCTAGCCCATAATTGTTAAAAAAAGGGCAAAACCCCTCATAACACAAAAACCCACCAGATTTTTATGATAATGCAACCAGTATTTTCCTTTGTGACAACCCTATTCCTACACAACCAGATACTGAAGCTCTCCTGAACGCTATATTCTATGTCTATAAAAAGATCCATCATGTTTTGTCATATTCAAAGCAGGTCTTTAAATTACCCAACTTTGGAGCAACTAAGACAAACTGCAATCCAGGTTTGACAAACAAGTAGTAACATTTGGACAGAAGTGGTTACAAAGGCAAAGTGATGACCCAAAGCCATTCCACTAAACAAATAAACAAATACCAAGACTATTTAGCGCAGCTACTCTAATTTTTGAAACAAGGCAACCTAACTTTATCACGCCCTACATCAGTCCTTTGTGTCTAGGATAAGACTTCTGCAAACTCATGAGGAAAAACCTATTAGAGCTCAACCACCTTCAAAGCAGCCAGACTACTGTTGTGTTTTCCTTGAGCTGCTGTGAAGTAGTGTGAGAAAATCCACAATACAAACTACACTCAGCTTTTCCATTAACTGAAAGTAGTCTCTTGGATCACTGGTCTAAGGTTTTGGAAATACAGGCAAGGCTCCTAGCATGTGTAAAAAAAAACTGCGGAGTGCCTCTAGGCCTCAATTGTAACTTCTCCCTGAGTAACACAGATACAGAAAGATGTTAGTGGCAACATCTAAGACKGTGTTCACTGACCAAGCCCTCGCTCAGTGAACCCTGACTCGCTGTTTTTATCTGACCCATTTTCAAAYTCAGATGGCAGTTGAAGTACTGTTTGTGTTTCCTCACAGTTGATTCATCTACAAGGCAGCCACAGACCTCAAGRGGCTGAGCAGTCTCTCATAAACAGGAACATCCTGTCAATCTTCAGTTATAGGCTTATGAGCTGTCATTACTTGAGATGTCATACTATTCTGGTTGATCACAGAGTCCTGTTAGGATACTTTGAAACCATCAGGATGAATAACCTACATCTCACCTGCACCTCTAGGATGAAAAAAGTGCTCCAGTATTTTCAGTGATCCTGACTGGGAATCACACATTCAAGCACTGCACAGCACAGCATCCAGACATCACCTCACTGCCCAAAACCACCACTATTTGCAACACAGCATCCAAACTGTACATGGGCTGTCACTTTCAGAGCCTGATATGCCCAAGCATTTGTTTATATAGAAACAACAACTGTGGCAGCCTCTGCAGACATGGCTACGTCAGASACAATCAGGTCTGCTGACTGCTACCACGTCCGGCTTAGCTCCACTGGCACAAGTCTTGCTGTAAGCCAGATGATCCAAACACAGCAAGATTACCCCTCCACATGGATCTCCCAGCCCAAATTGCTCAGCATTCCAATACTTGTCTTATTARACCTACTGACAATATGCAGTGGTCACTGCCCCTTGCACAACTACACCTTAAGTAGATAGCAACCACAGAGGGTACAAGCACAAACTTTGGTGTTTACATACCAACACCCTTGTTTTGCACAGCAAATAGAAAAACCTAAACACACCTAGACTAGCTACATTGACAGCTGCCAGCTTAACCCCAGAAGCTTGACTAAGAAATAAAAGCCTTCTAGTTTCTCYTCAATATACTGATTTTTTAATAACGACCCCTGCTATAATATCATAATATAACTATAAGGAAAAGCCCATAGGCACATACTAAAACCACATCAAATGGTTTAGGACATTTGATGGCAAAAAGTTTGAGGCAAAGCACTTATGCACATAGTATTCTATTTGCTCCAGACCAAACAGAGCAATACTAGCTCAGTGAAGCTAAAATCTTATCCAGAAAGCCAAAAACTCTTTTCTTTTTATAAGCAGATAATGCTGAACACATTGAGGAGTTAAGGGTGCAAATTGTTGTAAATGGCATATTCTAAAGCAGTAAGAAAAATCAACAAAAAGCACGTTTTATCAAAGACATTGTTACAACAGTCCCATGTTCAAGTAAAACAATTTAAGTTTTTACAAACTGTTATTTAATATGGCTGTTAGCCACTTCATTCTTGTATCAGTTAAAAGCATACTGAGTAATTTCTGAGAATAGGCCTGGCAAAAGTGTACTTGTCAGTCTGGTCTCTGACACTGTGCTCTGTATTACACTCCTGGCACAACAAACTACTGCAAGAGTAAGGTTTCTCTCCACTTCAGTGTAACTCGTAGAAGTGTCCTTCAATTGGCAACAAAATGGAAACACTTCAGAAAAAAAAACCCAAACCAAAACAGTTTCCAGTTATGAATGGTGAATAGTTTTGAAACCATGTGGAACTTAGCTGTTGTGGTCACACAAACCACACTTACATAACTGTCGGAAATCAGAGTTAAAAGCTTTGAAATTGTATAGTGACAGCAATAATACAACTGAAATACTGAAGCATCACACTTGGTATAACCCACACAGGAAAAGGGGTTCCTTTCTCTCCACTCATTCTGTGTGTTCCCATCTTCAACCCACATTTGACCACAGTCCTGAACAACCTGCTCTAGGTGACCCTGCCTRAGCAGAGGCTTTGGACATGACAATCTGCAGATGTCCCTGCCAGCCCCAACCATTCTGTGATTCAGTGACAGCCCTCTGACCTCTAATCAGTAGCTCAACAATAATCACGAGAGATACATCAATTATATTGACCAATTTAATCAGCCTGCCCAAGATATGGAGATGAAGGCAGCYACTGGGCTGGATGCTCTAAACCAAAACTCAACTTAGTGAGGTTACYCATACCAACCCTGGAGAAGACTGAACAGCTGCCCTGCTGATCTCTTAAGACATAATTAGGTAAAAAAAGTTGCTCCACTACTCAAAAACAGTGCTGTGACAGTGTTATTAGGAACAGAGGGTACACAAAGGAGCAGACAAGTTAACCAGGCAGCTCACAGCACCATTTGGACCATGTTATTTTGAAGCCAGGAGCATGTTCCATCACAATACACTGTTCTGGGGAATACTTARGACAGGCTGAATTCTATCTCTGAGCAGTGTCTTTGCAAGTCTGATTAGGCAAGGATAGAAATAAAAACAGACATAAAAGACAAGCAGATCAGACTGTTCATAGAGACCATTTCATTTACAGACACAGGAGCAACTGCTGAATAGCTGGCAGCTACCAAATGAAGAAATTAATTGTCTTGCAGCAGGGTCACTGGGCCACAGCAAAGGAGGAAACRATCTAAAAATGAAGTTTTGATAGGCTATTTTTATTAATCCTTAATCATGTATTTAAGTGACACATTTCTTACTTTGTACTTCAGCTTCACACTTGTAAGACTGAATAAAAAGCTCTGGAAAAAATTAAATTGCTCAGGACCTTCTTATGGGAAAAATTATCCAGAAAGATCAAGGCTGAATTTCTAAAAGCAGAAGTTTTGAGAGGCTGAAAAGTCATGATTAGTGATTTGAGGAAGCCACACTGCATACAACAAACTGAACATAATGTTCCACAGAAATGTTAATTACACTCAAATTACACCTAATTTTCTAAAAAATAAAGACATTACAGGCAAACAACTTTTATCATACCGATCACCTGCATGAGTTTATTCATCTCACATGTAGAAKACAGAAAAATACAGTCTCTTCTTCACTTGCCCTCTGAACCAGATCAAATTAGTCAAATTCAGGAGAGAAACTCATGGCTTAGCAAAAATGAAGCATAATTCAATGTTTTGTTAAGAGCTTCATTTTCAACTCAGTTTCTCACTTCCACAGGAATATGCTACAGATCTAATGTCCAGCTCAGCAAATGTCAGCAGTCCAGCTTTGATTCTGAAAGGGTAAGTTGGGGTCTGCCATGAAAAATGGGCAGCAAACAGAGACTGATTTTCAGTTTAATCAGAGAACACACTAACACAGCATCAGCAAGGAACTATGCAGGAAGGAAGCCAAGGCAATCCATTCCTAACAAGAAACTACTCAGAGGCTAAACAGATTAGTCTCTATGGACTGTCTAAGCTAGGACATTAGTCAGCAGCAATAGTARGATTCATCCTGTAGAAAAGACAAGGATGCCAAATTTCACTTACCATGAGAGTCGGATCCCAACTTCTTAGAAGCCATTTAGAACCTGAAAAATATTTTAAAAAAGCTTGAACAACTTTGTATATGTAGTACAGAGTAAGTCTGTGCAGTTCCAGAGTCTTCTCTCTAGGTTATGGAACACATTGCAGACACCTGATTGCCTGTTCCCACAACAGATAAGAGAACATATTTTTTAGCCTTGAAACCAACTGAGCAGACAAATAACTTAGCCCAGGCTCTGCCATTTGAAATAGCAAAATAAAAAAGAAGAGAAAAAACATCCCCAACCAGAAAACCAAAACAGCTAACAGCCAAGACACAACCAGGGTGATCAGGAAGACAGAGAGTTACAGATCACAGCACTCAGAGGCTGCTCTGTCCCAACCCCATGAAGCACACCCTGCCTCCCTGGGCATTAAGAATAGCTTTTCCTACTGGAAATACCACACTGATCCTCTTCAGTTTAATCCCTGCTACTCTAAAAAGGGATACTACCATACTGAGTTCACAGYCAGCAAGCCAGCGTGGCACTTGTCTAGACACACTGGGCAACGCATAATACAGGTATACAATAAATGGTACCATGAGGATGATATTTTGGATACACACAAGAAACCATTATGATAACAGGCCCCATTCACTGTCCACAACACTTATCAACAATTTTTAAAATTTCGATGCAAATCCTACATGGTCAAGATGCCAAACACAGAAGTGCCGAGCCAGCTTTTAACACAGAGTACGCCTGACTCACAAAAAGAGTTGTTCGAGATAGAATTAGCTGCCAGTTAAAACCCTGCTCCATGATGCTTATGGTTGACTCAATAACATGGGGGTTTTGCTAGATTAGAAGCACAGTGCAAGATCTGTCTCAAGACACCACAACATAATTCCTTGAGTAACTGAATTTATTTATAAGAGCTCCTTGTGACACTGTGCATGAGAGAGACTCAAAGTTGCCCTTGGTCTCTGATGTCCTGCAGCTCACAGAGTGAAATGCCTAACAGCTACTCTTCAAAATCATGGAGCCCTCTGGTACCTCCCCACAAGCAGCAGAGCACAACAACATGGGGCAGATCTAACATTCACACCCATCATTCCCTAGTCAAGGATTCTCAGGCTCACTGTTTCCACTGCAGATTCCAACTCCAAATGTTACACCTTAAAGAAAGGCAAAAATAAGGTGAGAGTTACATAGACAGATTCCTCCTTGCTGCTGCTGACAGGACTGGTGACAAGATGACCCAGTTTCAAGTACTCTAGGAAAGTCCCTTTTGCCGTGCAAAGATGCCTTACAACATTATGTTGAAATCAACCGGTGAACCAACTCTGGCCAACAGGAATCCAACACAAAGCCAAAGCAAAAGCTGCATGAAGATCACCTGGGTGCAACCAGACTTCATGAAACACGGTGAGCAGATGCTGGGCCATGGGGAAGTGAGTCATGTTGGGCAAGTCCAGGTGCATGCTGCACATAAAAGCTGTGTGTCATCCAGCTCAGTGTTTGACAGGTTCTTTTGAGAACTCACCAACTTCTGTCAGCAATGCTATTATGCCCAAAACTATTCCAKTAAGCCAGAAAACTGGTTCTAGCACCTGGTCTCAGAAGCAAACAAAACATTAAGCCTTCAAAGAAAGAAAGAAAAGGAGGTGAAACAGTGCGAAGTCTGCCATCTGAGGAAGGATATCAAGGGCACCAGACCACCCAGTAGAGTTCATGCATGTCAACCACTAGACCTCAACGAGCCTTACCAGTCCCAGTGCCCAGACTGCACATGAAATAGCTGCACTATTCATGTGCACAGGTCTCACCATCAGACAAGCTACTGTGTCAATAGCTCCTCTATGTGAGAGTAGCAATTAAGACATCAACTGCATTTGTTGCTAATGAAAAAGCTTGGTGACATGTAAAACCATACAACCTTCATGTCCACACCAGCCCTCTGTTTGTCACTGGAGATTCTGTAGCACCGCATGCAAGCAGTGCCCACCGTCCGCTTAACTTGGGACAAAGCCTCTAYATGCTTCTTTTAATTTCTCCAAGTTCTTTTTTTCTAGTTACTACTTCAGACTGAAAAGCGAGCAGTCCTTTTTTATAGGATTTAAAAACTTCTAATAAGAAGTAACCTTCTCACTTTGCCAACTTAACTTGACAAGGGAGTTTTCTCAGTGCAACACCAGCTCCTACAGGTTATGCGGCAATGTGTACAAATCCCAACCAGCCAAAACTGCACTTCCAGCTTCCAAGGAGTCTTGCAGCAGCCTATTACTCTGGAGCTTCACAAAGTTCAGTGTCAAAATACTCCACATAAGCAACATGTATCTTGCTTCTGCTGCCAATCCTGTAGTAAAATCCTAATGCTGATCTGGTGTATGCATTAASTTCAAGGTGCAGTGAAAAAATAATTCCTCTGCCATATGCAACACCTTATTATCTACAGAACTAGCTAAGGCACATCAACAGAAAGCTAGTCATGAAATGGGTCATTTCCAGAGACAGTCACACTCTAGTCACACTAGATTCAGGTAACATTTGAGTTTGTATCACACAGGCTCTTGCTGAYGCACTGTGAGTCTGCACTTATTAAGACACCATTACTGCAGAAGGCACTTAACAGCAAATAAAACTGTTAAGCACCACACACAATAAGAGGAGCACAGGTTGCTATAGCCATATTTCATCACCCTCTTCCCAAAGAAGTTTTAACTAAAAGAGTGCCTGGTGACTAATCAGATTTGATGGGCTATTCAGGGACCACTGTTACAAGCATGTTGCTGTTGCTCTGTGGTCCYGGCTGGGAAAGCAGTATTTGCCGCCCGTTAAGTGCTAACAACTCATGTTGTTACTCTGATTCTGGGCATTATCTGAGCATTAATTACACCATGCAGTAAAGGTTTGCTTACTTTTGTTACCACTCATTTTGAAATTTAATTTGAAATTTGGACTGCYTCCAAAGCTTTATTCCAAACCAGATGAGCACAAGGGCAGCCCTACCACTGCTGCCTTTGACCTCCAGACTCCAGAACAAGATGCTGAAGGGCATTAGTTAGTAACAGCACATGGTGGCACAGATTTTAGCCTGATGCTTTACYGCACACTGTAAATCGACAAAGGGCACACAAACTTTTTCAACACCTTTCCTGCTTTAGAGGAACTAGTCAATTGCGTAGTACTACTGAGTGTTCTTACAGCCGCCTACAAGCTCTCTTCTAGAAAGGCAGACCTCTCTAGCCTCATTCCCTCATTCTTGGCTCTGGCCAACGCTCCACTGAGAAGATGAGGGCTACAACTACCTAAAAGTTATAAAGAACGGAAGCAACCTGATGTGAACTCCTCTTCYCATACTCCTCTTCCCATTTTTGACTTAGTAACACTGATGTAGCCAGTCAGCATTCTTAAAACCAGCAAGTCAGAGGAACCCAGCAGAGAAGAACCCAGAATGAGGGCAGAGGATCCCTGAGAGATCATGACAGAAGGGGAGGGGAGACAGGGTAACAACCACCACAACAAMAAACAGCAACACAAAGATGCAGAAACAGAGAAGTGGCAGGGAAAAACTGATGACAGGAGAGACTGGCACAGAGAGGTGACAAGCTGAAAAGGCTTGAAGAGGCAGAGGTGACCAAGGCAATCCACTGGGCACATCATCACTTAAACCTGAATGACATTTCGTTGTGCTGCCAGACAAAAAGAACAGAAAAAAAGCATGACTTGATGTAGGAAAGCAATGCCAAAGAGAGAGTCTTATCAACAGAAGAGAGCACAAAAACTACTATGAAGAAAGACTCATGAAGAATTTCTGGAAAGCTGGGGTGTTTTTTCACTATTATTTCAATGTTTCTTCTACTTTCCCATAAGTTTCGTTCTTTTTTCTTCTGAAGGTGCTCTAACTGGACAAGTTGGAAGAATCCTACCACTAATGATAGCTGTAATTGCTTTATCCACAGTAACTCAAACCAGTTCAACTATTTGCCAAGAATAAATGGGCTGTTGCTACTATATTCCTGGTTTTGGGATGCAAACATGCCTGGATTCCAACCACATGAATTCTCTAAAGTAACTCCCACCTAAAATTCACATAAATGAAAAATTAGTTATTTATGGATGAGAAGAAAGCAAAATGCCTCAAGTTATCAACCATGATCAAATCAGCATGTCTACAATTTTCAGAGAAGAGAGAAGCAATTTCCGTTTTACCGGCTAATACACATTGTGTAGTCTACACACCATCAAGGATGAATCATTCAGCCTGAAAACTACCAAAAAAAAAAGACTGAAAAAGTAAAAAAAAATTTCCTGCCCATTTTACATTCATGAATTACCACTGATCACCAATTTTACAGTAAAGAAAGAAGTGAAAAGCATTTTGATTCAAGTGACTGATTTCTAATGGTCACAGGTGTTCAAAATTTAGACAATTTTCAGTTTTCACTGTAGCTACTTGTTTCAGTGCAAGTGAAGGGCTATTGCCGACATCAGGATTCTGTACATGGCCTCAAACAGCAAAAATAGAAGTCAACAGTGCCTGTTGCTAAGACAAAACAAAAGTTAAGTTTCTCATATCAAAGCATCCCACCTACATAAGTGTTCAACCACTGCCACATAAATTCAGATCTCTTACAATCTCTTTCAGCAAAAAGCTGATCAGTTCACTACAGTACAAAACAATACAAAACTCCATGGTCATTTACTGGAGTATCCAAAAAGATGACATCACCCCAAAACCTGCAGCAATTGCTTCTGCTTTGTACCTCTAAGAGTTCTGCAAACAAGAGCACATGAAGGGACTCCCCTCACAATAAGGCACAATGATGTTGAGCCACTGGTGACTGCTCTTTATGAATAAAGCTGTAAAATTATATGGGACATGTTACAACCACACACCCCAACCAACCCAACCTCCCCCAAAAACCCCCAAACCAAACCAAATAACAATTTAAAAAACAAACCAAAATCCAAAGCCAAAAAAAAAAAAACCCAAGACCCCCAAACCAAAAACCCACAAGGGAAGGAAAAAAGACATCTCTTTCACTAGTCCTAACAGA